CTGAGCAATGATTTTTAGATTTCTTGGCAGGACCGAGGCCAAATGTACACTTACAGCAGCAAATTCCCTAGTAGATCCCCAATATCACCACAAGATCCTTGAGCTACAGAACATTTATGAAAACCACACTGCCATTTCTGCAGGTGTGTAACGTGTTTTGTTTTTCTGGTTACTCATCTCCTAAGAAAAATTTCCAACACACATAAATTGTCATTGAAATACTGTCTCCAAAAAGAATGCCTTGCGTGATCCTGGGAATGGAATTAGGATACTTTTGTCAGTGACCCTGTAAAGCATACCATCTTGTTGCATCACAGGTAATGCTCCAGGTAGACAGTCAGTGTGTCTCATTACCCTCAGATGGGATAAAAATTACATCAGTGTCCACTTCAGCCATCTTCCCATTCTTCCTGAACTGGACAAGATTTGGTATGCATTCACAAATGTGATTACTTCCTAGACAAACATTGATATTGCTTGGTTTTCCTTTGCTGTTGAGCAAGCTCCCTGGTGGGAGACCTTTTGAAGATTTTGTAAAATACGTTAAAACATGACATTCGTACCTCCCATATGCTGACTCCTCACTGCGTTCTCTTTCCAGCTTCGTCATCTTCCCCGATGACTGAAAAACCTCCCTCTTCTCCTTTGTCATACAACTTCTTTGAACTTCATCTTTCACGCTTAAAAGGGAACAAGGAAGTTCCTTAAACGCAAGTGGAACTTTCAGCCATTTTGGTTTTAAAAGGAGACAGAGGCTTTCTATTTTCGTGCTGCATGACAATAGAGGCATAGTAACAGCTGCTTTCCACCCATAAGGAAGGGCTGTGGAATCGCACCCTGGTGGCATTTACTGGTACACCCACAGCAGTTAATTACTCCTGGCACAAGTCTACTTTCCCTGATGAGTGCTGTGTAAATCCCATTAAGGTGTACAAACGGATACTTGCTTGCAATATTTTTGATTTGACAGGGATGTGTCTACTTGGAGTGATACATGGCATTCAGATAGTCCCCAAGGATAGTTCCCTCCAGAGCTTGGTGTATCAGCCATCATGGTGGTTGACTAGAGAAGACCATGGCATGATTTCTCTTCTCAAGGCTAACCAGATAAGGCTGCAAATTGGAACATAAATTGAAACAAACCATGAATTTTTCCTCTAGACCTCTACTTTAGCCTAAGGCATGGAAATTCACAGTATTTGCATATGATATGCTTGAGAAGAAAATTTAAGTCTGTTACTACATATCCTAGTCTTGTTTAAAAATGATGCAAGCTTGCCTGTAGGGAAAAAAAATGAGCAATCCCCAGAGTTCTTCACAAAAAAAAAAAAATCCCCAGATATCTGTGTGGTTCCTTGCTGGCTAACAACCAACAGAGAACCAAAGAACTTGCAACATAGCAATAGTGAAGGGCTGATTGTTCAGGGTGCCAGTACTCCTGGGTGTCATGTGTAGGTCCATAAAGCAGCGCTTGGTTATGAGAAACATCGACACGGCATCTTAGCATCCTGCCCAACATGTTCAAGTACAGTGCAGGGACATTTGGTTGCACTCTCACCTATTGCTGGAGCTGGTAGTATCCTACTTGCAAACATTTGGGGCAAAAAAGTTTGTTTTCTGAAGCCTGGGATTTTTTTATGCAGACTGATGAAGACGGTATTACTACTGTGAATGAGAGACACATAAGAACTCACAAATACTGTAATTTCAGTGAATGCTGAATACAACAAACCTTAAAAAGAAAGGAGCTGTAAAACGGGTGATGTGTTTGTATCTTGGTGAACAACAGAAATCCCATCTTGTACGGAGCTATAGGAACTTAAGATCTTATTAACAGTTTTAAGGATATCCACTGAAAGCATGCCGGAGGAGCTGAACATCAGCTTTATACCTCACTCATGACATCTACCATTATTTCATTTAATCATTGTTATGATTCCACTTACACAGTCCACCGGCAGCTGGCATTTTCTTCCACACATGAACTAAACTTGTACAGCAGTCCATTACATTTTAGTCATATTCCTTCTCCTGTTGCAAACACTACAGACTAAAGAAGCAATCTCTGATCAAGCATTAGTAGCTTGCATTTATACTGCAGAATATTGAAGACTATCAGAAAGGAAAAACACCACTAAATCAGAGTGAAACATACCACAAACCTAATAATCCTCTGCCTTTATTCAAAATCTTAATTTTTTCTATGCAGGATGGCCATGTATATGCAGCCAGGTGGCTTGCAGCACCAAGCACTGGGCAGCACTGGGCCTTACCTCAGCCCACGGTTGACAGCCAACAAAAGAGGAGTGATGCACTTTGACCAAAAACAGCTCTGCAGTCTGCTAAGCTCTTCAGGGGCAAAGCATTTACCCCGATGTTCTCACCTATCTCACCTGAAAACAGCCTCCTGCTTGCAAATCTCCCTGGAAGCAAAAGTGGCATGGGCTTGCTTGCACCCAGAGCGATTTTTTGAGTCTAGGAGTTACCATACTAACGCTAGAAATTCAGCATTCAACAGGTGGCATTATCCTGATTGGCTCTCTGGCTATGAATTCATCCCTGACTGTAGCTAGGATTAGTTTCCATGTGCCGAGAGTCTGAGAGGTTTTTTACAGCATTCATAATTGGCCTCTCTGCTCCCACAGAGCTTTACAGTAGTAGTTTCCGTTGCCCCGACAAAAGAAGGAGTTGAATGAATGCTGACAGTATTTGAGATCCCACCTGAGGAAAGTTTTGCACAGTGGGAAGCAGCCATCTGTTTTGTAATGTAAATGACAATAAGAGAGGACTAACCCACAGAGTGAAATGAAGAACAGTAGCAACAAAAGGGTAGAAGAATAGTAAACTGTAAGATACACCTGTACCTAGAAATTATGTCTTACAGTCTCAGTAATAGTGCTTGTACATATTAAAGTCCCAACAGCCCCAAGTCTGATGCACAGTTAACTGATGACCTAGCACTGCTCGTCCAGGGCTTACTGCTTTCTGGACAAGGTGATGAAGCAGCTTAGCTCAGAGCAATACAGAGCAGGCTAATTAAGCCCTTTAAGTCCATCACAAACTTTAAACATTCCTATAGATAATTCACTGCAAATTACTTATTTTAAATGCAGTACCAGAGAGAAAAGGGGGAAAAAATGGAGAGAGAGGAGGGAGAGAGATTTTCCCCAAGAAAATAAATGCAGTAGTAGCAGAAGTGTGAATTCAGGTTTCTCCTTCTCTTGAATGACATGTAAGGCATTCACGAGCGTCTGCCATGGGAGCATGCAAGGATGCTCAGCACTTCTGAAGTGACGCACACAGCCAGACAGAAAGAGCAAACAAACCAAAAATAAAGTAAGGGACAGCAATGGCAGAAGGCTTGGGAGCTTTAAGATGAGAAACAACAATTGAAACTTCATTTTATTTCACTTTGAAGGTTTAATCAAACACACTGGCAAGACTAGAGAAGCTGGGCTGTGTGCAGAAAGCGGAACATGAGCCATCCAGAACCGGAAAGAAAGAGCTCTCTGTGTGCTATCACACACAGAAAGTAGGAGGCAGGAACTCCCCTCCTGCTGCATTTGCTCCTGGTGGTATCAGAAGGCAAAACCTGGACTCACCTCATTGGGTTGCTCCTGCCCTTTGGCACCTTGCAGCTGGACCCATCAATTTGGTGTTGGCCAAACATGCTGCTGGCTGTGTGCTTTATTCTTGTGGTTCATACCACAGCTCTGGTTGGGGAGAACACAACAGAATATAATTGCTATAGCTCAGGGAGGCAGGCACACGCTGACAGCAGCTACTGAAAGTCACTGTGTTGCTTGCAATTCAGTGCTAATATCTCCCAAGTGGGCAAAATTACTGCAGCTGCCTTTGCGCTGTGGGCAGAATGGGATATCAGATAAAGAGTGGTATTCTGCCTCTTTCCCAAGACGCTCTACCCAGGCTGTTCTGGAGCTGCTAACATCTGGCTTCTTTACAAAGCAGTCTGAGAGTCTGAGAGTCTCCTACCTCGATTCCTGTGTCAGCGTCTCCCTGTGCCCCATGTTATGCCCTCCCCATTCCAAAACCGGGATCAGTTCTTTCTCTGTTTTTCTCTATTTGGCAAAAGCAGATGTTGACACTCCCAAAGCTGACCAGCAGCTTGCCCTGAGCAGCTTGCCCCAGCCCATGGTAGCACATGCCTGAGCTGAATGGCCACGCTCATTCTGGGCAAAGAATCCCTCAGCGAAATGCCAAAATTCCCAGCACCCCTCCCTGTGTGGCGAAGGAGATAAGGCTGCAGATAGCAGGTAAATAACTGCGTGGCATTTCCTGCGCCTGCTGCCCCGGGGAGCCCTGGGTGCTGACCTTCCTCCACCGCTGTGTGCTGGAAACACCGGAGCGATGGGATGTGCCCAGATGTGGTTCACAGAAAGGTGTGCGCGTGACAACGTTTAACATGGGCATGTGCAGCAGCTGAATCCAGGGCATCCAGTTTCACGTTTACAAGTAATCAAAACAGAACGAACGAAAATAGAACACAAGTAGAAAGAATTTCTGAAATTCTTAAAAACGAGAATAGAGATGCATAATGAGTAAAAGTAGTGAAAACAGGTACCAATGTATAAGACGTATAAAACACAATAAAACATAAGACAGGCCACGCCTGCGTGCAGGTACGGGGCTCTGCGGGCGGCTGCCGGGCTCATCCCCCGCCCCGACCCCCGGTCGAGGCCAGGTGAGCGGCGGCGCGGCCCGCAAGGAGTTACGGAAGGGGAGGAAAAATGACTTCATGCCTCTGCCTGGCCCGGCTCGCCTCCCCCCCCGGCCCCGTTTCACAATCCCAATGCTCTCGGACGGGGCGAGTGAGCGCTGTGTCAAACCCAGCGCAAGCACAGGGCACACACCCCCGTGTTCTCATGCTGGATTTTCCCGGACCATGAATAATCTCGAAGCCCCCTCGATAAATACACGTTCAGGGATGCCCGGAGCTCATTCGATCCGTCAGCCTCCCCGACGAGCAGAGAAGCCGCACCATGAACTTCACCGAGGGCTGCGAGGCGACGGGACGGCAGCCGGGGAGCGCCGGGAGCAGCCGCCGGAGAGCGCCCCGTCCCGGCCCCGCCGCGCTGCTGCTGCTGCTGCTGTCGCTGCTACTGCCGCCCGCCGCCGCCGCCCCGCTGCCCGCCGCCGCCGACTCGTCCGGGGAGGCCGGGCTGGAGGAGGAGGCGGGGGCGCGACGGGCGCTGCCCGACTGCGAGTCGCTGGCCTGGCTGCTGCACAGCCGCGCCGCCCGGCTGCAGGACGAGGTGGGTACGGGGCCGCGGCGGGGGACCTGCGGGCTGCGCCCGGGGCTCGGACGCGACGGCAGCTCTCGGTATCTCTCCGCAGATGTGCGAGAAGTTCTCCGTCTGCGAGAACAGCATGGAGATGCTCGTCCGGAACAACCTCAACCTGCCCAAGGTGACGGAGGAGGACGGCTGCCTGCTCGCCGGCTTCGACGAGGCAAGGAACCGCTCCTCTCCTTCCTTGGGCCGCCTTCGGCCCAATCCGAGCGCCGCTGAATTCAGCGCAACGTGCCAGGCACCCCGAACTGCTGCTGATGTTCTCACTTCTCTCTCCACAGGAGAAATGCCTGAGGAAGCTCTCTAGCGGCCTGTTCGCCTTCCAGACCTACCTGCAATTCATTCAAGAAACTTTTGCTAGCGAAAAGCAGAATGTCGAATCGCTGTGCTACGGCACAAAGCACCTGGCGGCCACGATCCGGCAGATGGTGAGTCGGTGTGCGGGGCACTGCCGCGGCCGCTGGGACGTGCAGTGATGTGCAGTCAGGACATGCCCGAGGCTGAGCATTTCCCGCTGTTACTTATCCCATCAGCAGCAGGTGCTGGCTGCCTGTGCTGCTTTCCCTTATGACTAACTTTCAAGTTTTACGAGCTCGTGTTCTGTACTCTTCTTCCAATTTTCTGTTTCCATTCCTACCTTCCAGACAACAATCAAACTCATCAGACTCCTTTAAAAACAATGTGCTCAGGCACTCTACTCAGAGCTGCAGTTTGGTCCCAGCCCCTCAGTGCTGGGACCGCCGTGAAGTACAGTAACTTTGAAACCTCACAGAAATAACTGCAGATACAAACAGCTGATTTTCTTTCAGTTTGGTGAATGGAATGATATCCACTTCTGACTGCTGTTTTCTGTGCTTTGGAGTGCTTTAAAAGATCATACTTCAAAACTGGCTTCATTCCTGCAGCACTTAATCACGCCCATAACCCTTCCCTTCCTATAACCCTTCTTACTTTGTCAGCAGTGAAACTGTGGGTGAGTGAGGGCTGCCTAGGTGAGGGGGAACCAAGAACTGCAAAGCTCTCTGGCTGTGATTTCCTGCCAGGTGTTTTCAGCACCTGAGAAGGACATTGTGTGCCTTTCCTACCACACTTTTTTTGTGTTCCTCATTCTTTAAGTGAAAGGGAGCTGGACTTCTTTCTTTCACACTGTATTTGCTAAGAATAATAGTCCTGGCTTAAGGCAACTACCGGCTTCAAACTTGATATATTGTTTGTAGAAGGTTTGTTCAAGGGCTGGGTGAGACTGGCCTTCTGTGGAATGACGAAGGCTGAGGCATCAGAGCAGGTGGCACAAAACAGAGCGGGTGCACGGAGCTCTGTGCTTGTAGGGACTGCTGAGATTTTGAGAAAGTCAGGAGCTCTGGCTTGCAGGGTGGAAACTTCTTCATGAAAGCAGTCCGTGTAAGGCTGTTTGAGATGGGGATGGCAGGTGGAGGCAATCTGCTACTTGTGCTCCAGTCCATCCATTAGCAAGCTCCCTGTTTGGATACCTAACACACTTGTGAGCGAGGATGCAGCAGCCAGTATGGTTTAGACCGAGCCACATCCCACGTCCCCAGCCAGCACAGGGCAGCAGACACTGTGGGCACTTTGGGCCGGGCCACCCCAACCCCAACAAGCGTTAATTGGAATTCTGGAAGAGCAGGGATAGGAGTACCTCAAAACCCAGCACAGAGGTGGGGCTGCCAGCAGCTGTACGGAGAGGAGGGCTACGAAGCTGGGTGGAACACATTTGTACCTATGGTCTGACTCAACGTTCTGTTTCCCACAGGTGATAAATCCCGACAAAGTGATCATCCCAGACTCAGCCACCCAGAAATCCCTCCTCGCCAAGCTGAAGTCGGATAAGGCCTGGATAGAGAAAATCACCACACACCTCATCCTCCGAGACTTTACTTCGTTTATGGAGAAGACCGTGAGGGCCGTTCGCTATTTGAAAAACACCAGGAGTTTCAGTGCCTGAATGTTTTAGTTCGGGCACAGTCCTCTGTTACCGATCTGTCACGTGGCAGATGGCAGTGTTGTTCCGTTTCAGGAACCAGATAGTAACAATGGTTTGCATTTATAGACATTCTCATTTCCTTCTAGGAACCTATTTATTGTATTTAAAATATTTATTCTTTTCTAATGTTTTCTATTTATATGAAATATCTTCAATATTTAGAAATAACTTAAGCAAAACACCTGTTTCATTTCTTATGGTACTATTCAGAATATCAACTTATTTATTGCGTATTCAATGCCAAGGAAAATGTCCAGAAGCCAGACTGTTGTATAACTTATGCTTTTAAAATATTTGAGAGATTGTATTTTTTATCTATTTATATTTTTTAAACAAATAAAAGCTCACTGGGAAAAAAAAAAAAAAAACCTGTCTGAACTTTAAATAGGATTGAAGAGCTACACCGTATCCAGCGTCTAATGCCCGGAATTATCAAAATAACCCCTTTAAATAATTTAATCTGTATAATTAAATCAGCTATCTATGAAGGCTGCTCCAAATGTAATGCCTCCTATTTCATTGTGTCAGTCCGCTACATCAAAGGTGGATGTTGGTGGTATGGCAGCAGAACCTTCCCTCAGTATCCCATTACATGTTGCCATGTGACAGATGGCAGCAGAGGGACAGTCTGACAGAATGGCATCTGACATCGAAGTGAGGATGAAGCAAAGGTGTGCCATTGAATCCCTCCATGCAGACAGAATGGCACCTAGTGACATTCATCAACACTTGCTGAATGTTTGTGGAGACCAAAAGTGGACGTGAGCACAGTGAGGCAGTGGGTGGTGTGTGCAACAGCAGTGTGAAAGACAAGCCATGTTTCAGACAGCCAATGCACAGCTTTCACACCACAGAATGAGGAGTGTCATCCACATGCATTGGCTAATGATGGTGGCTATACGGAATTACAATGTTTTGTAGCTGAGAACTTGCTCTATGAAATAGTGTTATTGTGCTCTTTGTTGTAGTTTCCGTGGAAATGTATGTAAGACACTACTTTCAGAGTGACCTACACAGGGCATCTACACATACATACACAGCACAATCAACATACAGTTCTTAAAACAGTGCATGTAATGCACACAGATGTACTGCACATCAGTGTGTACTTCGCTGCATGCACAGCAGTACAAGCATGATAAAGCATCACTGCTCTCGAGAAACAAATGAATGAGTTCTTTCTATTTAATATAGAACACTCCATAAACCTGTAAATGTAAGTGTATGCTTAAAAGTCAATCTAATTAAAACAAACAATATGGTCAGATACCAAATTAACAAGTTTGATTTTATCATCTGATTAGACACTGCTGTCTTCTAAGGGAATTCTCCAAATTGGATTAAACATCTGAGACAGAGGAGATTTAGGTTAGATATTAGGAGGAAATTTTTCACTCAGAGGGTGGTGACAATGGAACAGGTTGCCCAAGGAGGCTGTGGATGCTCCATCCCTGGAGGCACTCAAGGCCAGGCTGCATATGGCTCTGGGCAGCCTGGCCTGGTGGTTGGCAACCCTGCACATAGCAGGGGGGTTGAAGCTAGATGATCCTTTTCAACCCAGGCCATTCTATGATCCTGTGTTCTTCTCCCTTTCTCCTAAGAAGTGGAAAAAATCTTAAGTTCTTTCCCCAGGTGGAAATAATTGACGTATTGTTGCAGCAATGTCAGTGACTCTTGGGATCTAATCCATCTGCCACAGAGCACGAATGCTAGTCACTGAGCAATGCAGAGGTAAAAATAGGTCCTTAGACTGAGTACCAAACCACTGAAATATTCCTTAGCTCTATCACCTCCTTTGTTGTGGCTGTGAACATCCTCATATACCCAAACTTAGAGGAATTTCAGCTCATAGTACACACAAAGGATGGGCTCCCTTGAGCCTTGTTCTTCCAGCGTGAACAGCGGAACATTAATTACTCTCTCTGGAGCAGCACAATGAGGAGATGAAAGGTATGCTCTGGAATGTGGATAAGGATGTCAGTAAACTCTTCTCTTCCTCTGAGCGATCTTCTGATCCTCCACACAGACATTCCACTGCTGGGGATGCCAAAACAGTGAGCAGTCAGCTCACAGCCTGCATCTCAGAGGCTCAAAACAAAGCAAAATGCAACTGCTTTGCCCAATATGGTAAAACCATAGGCTCAAATTGTGCAACACCTCAGGAAAGAATGAAGAGACTTCAGAATGGTCATTTTCAAGAAGTCTGTGGTGAGTGAGATTTTCTTGCAAGACAGAAGATAGCACTTTAGTTGTCCTGCATGTGGTCTAAGAGACATAGCATCATAGAACAAAATACAGAAATCTGGTTGGTTTTTTCACAGCTTACCTTGGCAGAGATTTTCTTAGTGACTACTTGGTGAGAGAGCATTCTGGCACTTACCATGTCTGTGACAGCTATGGGAAAGCCATGAGAATGACTAAATCATTTTGCTCTTTGTGAGTAATATGCAACAATCTACCTTAAAGCTACTGGGCTGCAGTCTTGCATGCACGTGACTATGAGAAGGAAATAAGGTAATTAAATCTGTTCTGGTCTTGATGAAATTCTAGAGTATCTTCAGTATGAATTCAGTAAGTGTCCTTAAAAATACAAAGTTCTCTGACTGAGGTAATGTATGAGGGGTCTCAATCTTGCTCCCTCTTAGCTACAGATAAGGGCTTAGATTGCAGCTACGAAAAGCACAGTCTATTCACAAGTACAGTATGAATCACACTGCCTCTGATTCACAAAGGAGACCTCAGCGGGAATCCCGAGTTGGACCCTTTAAGCACTGTATTACTGTGACAGTAGCAGGGAACAAAACAAACAAAAAAACAGAAACATTCTGTCTCACCTCTACCAGCAGCAGTTGACAGATTGCCTAAGATCATTCTTAGTTACTGTGTACACTTCAGCTAAACAAACTCACTCTTTGGATTGAACTCCTTGAATTGCAGGAGGCATCTAAACTGCAGAGCAGTGAAATTTCACACAACATAGCTTAAATTAAACCCACATTCCCCAAAGGCACCCTTCAGCTGGTGGCTGCCTAAACTGTCCAGCATTCCAGTAAAGGTGTAAATGTTACATTTTGGGATGTAAGAGACAGCAAAGCTGCTTACTGGACAGGAAGGTCAACCTCAAGTTTTTCCTGGAGGGAAGAGGATCACTGATGCTGCTGATGCAGTTGCTGAGATAGTTTGTTGTTTGATAGTTAGTTGCCACAGTTTATCTGCAGCTCTTCCACAGACCTCTCCATAGAATCATGGAATCACATAGGTTGGAAAAAACCCTTAAGCCCAGCCATGAACCTGAGCTACCGAGTCCCACCGCTAACCATGTCCTTCAGTGCTACATCCACACGTCTCTCAAATACCTCCAGGGATAGGGACACCACCATTTCCCTGGTCAGCCTGTTCCAATGCCTGATCAACCTCCTCATGAAAAGATTCTTCCTAACGTCCAATTTAAGCCTCCTCTTAAGCAGAAAGTACAACAGATTCTTGAAAAAGTCTGTCTCCATTTCTCGTACCTTTGCTGACATTAATAAAGGCTGATGGCTGCGAGGTTAGCAAGACAGAGCTGGTGCTACAGAGGTGGAGAAGCTACAGTACCAACAGATCTGATGAGTAATGAGCCATCAGATGAGCTCAGCAAACTTGTGAAACTTCCCCTGACTTTTGCACTGTTACCTGCAACTAATAATTTTTCAGCATTCAGTTCACATGATGAAATGGCAGAAAGGTGAATATACAACAGTACCTATCAAGTCAAAACCTAAAGTTCCAGAACTGCTGCTGAATATATATACTATTACAAACCTTGGGTATTTGATAGGAAACTTTCTTTAAACTTCTGTTTTTCAAGTTGAATTATTAAACAGAATTTCACTGAGAGATCTGAAATTGTTTTCTTCTTCCTGGTAAGAGGAAAAATAAAACGAACACTCTCACACAGAAAATATGATCTCTGTAGACTCCAACACCAAAATACCATTTCCTCCCTTCTTCACCATACAAACTAATTTCTGCAATTTCAACGCATTTACCCAAACCTCGGAATACTTTCAAGGCAGACTTTGGGGGCTCTAAAATAACACAGTAGACAAATATCAATAGATATCATTCTAAACTCGGCATCATAGAAATAGGGCCAAAATGATGCACACAAATTATATTAACAGTTTTATTACCTCAGAGAATCCCTGCTGCTGCATACACACACAAAAGCACAATCACCTATGGAAAGTTCCAAGTCCATTCCTCAGCTTGGATGAACTGCCTGCTACGACACCACTGGTGCACAGCAACTGTCCTTGCCTCTCCTTACACTTATCCCTCCTGCTCACATGGCTCAGTGGCCTGGCACTGGGCTATAAGAGAAAACAGAATTTGTGAGAAGGGAGACCGTTTAGGATGAAGGCAGATGTACAGACGATCTTCCAGTCTTGCTGAGAAAGACCTGTTTTCCAGTTGCTGCACCTTGAATTGCACCATTTGGGAAGTTTCCACGAGAATAAAGTGGATCCAGAGAAATCACATAACGATGTAGTTGCAAATCCATGTTCACCTAATTTCCCAGGTCAGTAGCTGCTCACCGCTTTGCACTTGCTTTTTCTAATTTTTGACAGAAACTTGATTTCTTAATTGCAAGAAAATAGGAGTAAATCCTCTTTTCCACTTAGCAGATTTGCATCTCCTCTGCCTTACCCATTCCCTAATCCTGAATTAATATAAACATAATCAAGAAACAATGCATGTAAGCCACAAACAGTTACTGCATCACATACCATCATGGAAAACTATTTAGAAATTGCAATTAAATAGTCTGCTTTAAAAAGTAAATTAGTCATATGACATTAAACCAGGATGTGGTTTTTACTTCTGTGGTGAGAACAGATGTAATGAGCTTTTATTTCCAAAAGTCATCACTGGTATCATCATAGCTTAAATTCCAACTCCATAATGAGGTGTTTCCAAAAATACCCAGATTGCTTTGGCAAATTTTCCTGTTAAAAATGTGTTAGATCCCTGTTTCATTAACACGATGCAGCAAAGCCATGGAAAGCACTGTCATCTAGAGCCATCTTGCTGCACAGACAAGAAGCAATGGTTTTAGGCATAGCCAACACGTGGGCCTGTTGTTACAAAATTATGAAAGTTGCTTTGGTTTGCAGTGTTCACATGTTTGAAAACCGTACGATAAAAACTTTAAGTTTTACTGATGATTAATTAGGAGACCAAAATTACCACACACCAAGACCAAAACAGCCCCCAAACTCACAAACTCCCCAAGTACAACACATCAAGCACCACCAGGACTCTGCTGCTCCCTGTCTGATGTGCATATTTGTCTTTTTCTCATCTATTTTCCACTTCCAAAAATCTTGTCAGCATCTCCTTCTTTTATCCTCTTCTGATCAATCCTTGTCTTCTTTTTTTCTCCCAGAACCTAAGCTTTTTTTCTTGTTTTTTCTTTAGCCTAATGTCTCAATCCCCGTTCACTCTGTTAGTATGACAGAGAACGAAATACTCAGAAGGCAGGACATTACAGCACTCCCTGCCCACCATGCCTTCCCAATACTCCACTAGTGCTTCACATGCAGCCTGGCTACCAGAGGAGAAACAGCCCAGTTCTTCGTCCCTGGCTTCTTCATAGCTGCTCTCCTCAGACACCGATCTGAGGTGACACCATTACCTCGTGTCACTCTTGCAGGAAGAGGCCACAGCCCCTGTGGCCAGCACCTTCTGGCATGGAGCAATATTATCTTCTTCATATGTGAGGAGATGAAGTACAGCACATTCTTCTAATATTAATATCCCCGTATTCATATTTGGCAAGCAGAATAGTGAGCTACAGCAACTTTTGATCTTCCTACGAGTGGCTCAGGCAAAAACGTTCCCAAGCATAAACTTGAGTTCAGCTGTGGAATTCGGAGTATGCTTCTCTGTAAACTACCATCACTGACTTCATTTCAAATCTGAGTTCACAGTGGTCTCAAAGGAGCACACCATAAGCCTCATTACTGAAAAGAATCTGCTTGGCTACAGAAGCCACTGATTCACTCGACAGAGATTTACTGATCAATAGAGCGAAGCAGGAATTTGAACAGTGAGAGGTTCCATGTTAATGACTTTCCAGAACAGCATCTGATTTTTTAAAAGAACAATAACTGCAGCCAATCAGCAATAGAGAACGACCAAAAGTTTGCCATCTGGTGTGCTTAAAGTGAAATTCTGAACGTAAGGATTGTAATATTTATCCAATAATTCCAGATCTTAAAGTAAGCTGAACTGCAACTACTTAGACGGGAAATTTACAGCAGTGAATCCAGTCTGTGCTCAATATATCCATGCTTACGTACATACTTTTCTTAAAAGAGACAAGAACAGTTCCCAATTCTCTGCCTATTGCCAAATACTACAATTCTTGGCAAGCACAGAGCAACCATGTGGTGGTTAAGACCCACAAACCACATCCGCAAATGTCTGACACTGGATAGAACATGAGAAATACTTCTGCAGGTGTTTTGGAACATACACAGTTGCATTTTGAGTAGCCTTGTGGAATGCCAAAGTCGATTTTAAGAAATCCATGTTATTTTGCACCGAACAGCTTCTCTCTTAATATTGAGTATCTAAGGTCATGCCAACAGATTCAGTGAAAGGAAATTGTTCCTGGCCATGATCAAAGCCACTCTCAGATTATTTCATCCTCATTGTAACAGGATCAGTCAAGAAAAAGGGCTCTGAATTTCAACGCTTCCATAATGAAAGACAGTTCAATTGCAGTTAAATTATTCTCAAGTTACCATTAGAAAAGCTGCAATATCAACAGGAAACAGGATCACAACAGTATTCTGCACTCAGAACTTGCTCTTTGCCCATCCGCAATCGGTCATCATCTGCTATTCCACCATTCCGTGACATTTAATTATCGTGACCAATTGGACTTTAAGGAACATGCTGCTTTATGTTACCTTAGCTTCCCCATCTCCCACTTTTCTTTTTTTTTTTAAATCCTCGTCTTTTAATTTATTTCTTCTCTTGGCTCATTTCTCATTTTTTCTCCATTTCTCATAAGCATTTTACCACGACTTCCAACAGCAGATGAGAAACTGAGGCATCTCCTACTCACCACTCAATGTACAGTCAGAAAATCTGGGTTAAGCTGATCAAGAATATCTTTTTTCAGCATTAACTGGAGCAAACAAGATTTTATTTTCTTAAATACAGTGATTTTGTCACATACTCCTACCATCACTCCCAAACTGTGGAAAATTTCAATGGCATTTGAAGGTAAATTCAGTACAAAAGTGTACATCTGTTTTTTTTCATTATCTGAATATGCTAGGAAAAGAGTACATCACAAGTCAAAGATATCCAGGGGTGAACAAATTTAGAAGAAAACAAATACCAGCTCTGCACTGAGCAACAAGCAGCACGGGCTTACTTGCACTCAGCAAAAATCTTTCAAGAATGTCAAAATGTTTAAAACATCAACACCAGGCTGAGAGGTACAGTTAACACTCCAGAGAGAAGGGATGCCATCCAGACCTGGACACACCTGAGGTGGGCCCACATCAACCTCATGAACCTCATGAAGAACAAGGACAACTGCACGGTCCTGCATCTGGGTCAGGGCAATCCCAAGCACAGATACAGGTTAGGTGGAGAATGGCTTGACAGCAGAAAAGCTGGGGAGGGACTTTTTATAAGGGCATGTTGTGAAAGGACAAGGGGCAATGGTTTTAAACTGGAGGAGGGTAGATTTAGACTAGATTTCAGGGAGAAATTCTTTACTGTGAGGGTGGTGAGACACTGAAACAGGCTGCCCAGCCGGACTGTGAATACCTCTTTCCTGGAGGCATTCAAGGTCAGGCCAGATGGGGCTGTGAACAACCTGGTCTAGAGGGAGGTGTCCCTGCCTGTAGCAGGGGAGATAGAACTAGACGATCTTAAAGGTCCCTTCTAACCCAAAGCACTCTATGATTCTGGTTATTATGAAGAAAAACCTCTATCTGAAATTCATACTTGCTATGTAGATCCAAGAGGGTTGAACATTGCCAAATTTACCAAAATCAATGGTTACTTATATTTATGATTATATATAGTTACCTCCACATTTAAATGGTTAAATACATTTTAAAGGAACTGTCACTTTATGTAATAAAGACTTCAAAACAACACATATCCATTTCAAACTAGATTTAATTTTACCATAATCCAAATAAGTTACATCCATACAAACTCCATTGTGTTGTATGTACAACCTATGCCATTAGCAAGCTGACAGAGTCAGCTGGTGAAAGCATTCGCCTCATCCTCTGGAACGTATGAATCTTCAAACACTTTCTCTGTCCATCAGCTGGTTCTAGAGCAGACAGCCACATCTTTCATCCCCAAAGCAGACTGAAAGGGGAGGGGGGAGGAAATGAAAGTCAGATTTGCAGTACGTTCTTGTTTTTAAATAAGTTTCTCTAAAAAGCAAGTCAGAACAAACAGCCCTATAAAAATACAGCATAAATGCTACCAAAAAAACCCACAAAAACCAGCCAGAATACATTGCAACAAAGCTACCTACCCAGAAAAAGAACTTGTAAGCCTCAGACTAGACCTAAATGCATTTCTGTTACCTGTACACATACCCTGGTATCAAATGCATACTTTATGCTCTGCAGACATGCTCAATACAAGAAAAAAATCTCAAGCTGCTAGTGAAACTGAACACAGGAACACTGCCAGCAAACAAACAACTTGAGCAAATGACACCATAAGACAAAAGATTTTACTGAAACTGTAACATGACCTTGACATTTTTCTCATTCTTTCTACTGTTAGAAGTAGCTCCTTTATATCGTGTGAGGCAAAAATAATCAACATATAATTTTGCAAACAATGCAGACCATCAATTATTTGTCTTAGCAGTACCTGGCTCTGTGCTGTTGTCAAATTTCAAGATCATTAAAAGAGCCACATTCCCTTCAAAATCTTAATTTTAAAAGTCTGACCCATGGATATGCTTCAATAGAACTCAAACCCCACAAGAATTTATGGCCACTAATGCCAGGACATTGCAGCAGTGACAAGTTGTCCCATAATAAAGAGGCAATATGAGCAAATGCATTTTGATCCACTGCAACGACAAATACTGAAGGATGTATCTCTGTATTTAATGCCGTTTTTAAGCAGCTTTACAACCATATTTACAAAGAGGGAAGGAGAATGGATTTTGGTTAAAACCCCTGTTAGAAGTATAAGTAATTATTTCTAGGTGTGAAAAGACACTTGCATAGAACACCTCTAAAACAGATTACAAGGGCAGCTGCCACTCAAAAAGGCACAGGAAGTCCCATATATTAAAAAAAAAATGCACAGGATTCAGAACAAAACACCAAGGCTCTTACAAGAACCTGTGTTTCGCTGTTTTTTCTAGTTTTGATTTTAAAAGAAAAAATAACCTGACCAGCTATACTATCACCCAAGACCAATTAAAACAGTGGATAAAACACCTCTTGCTGTTTAGTGTGAACAACCAGAGGTAACACCTAAAACTGTGACCAAGAGAGCTCTGCTTTTGCATATACATTTGGACACAACACGTACCTCCAGATTGTGGGCTCAGGCATTCCTGGATCTGCACCCCTCCTAAAACCTGAACAGAAATAAACATTAGATAAACACACACATGTATGTGTAGACTCCTACACAGCTAACACAGTATCAGATTATCCCAGTACATTAAACTGAGATGCAAAAGGAGGGGGGAACTGTGATTCACGAAGTTGTAGACTCATCTCAACAGAAAAGTAACATTAACCAGGGTTAGAAAGCAGGCAAAATAAATACAAGCGTACCATTTTTAATTTTCTTTGTTGTTGTTGGTTTTTTTTGGGTTTTTTTTGTTTTGTTTTTTAACTCTTACCTGCATCTCTATCTGATTTAAAATTCAGGAACAATTGAATTTGAAGCTGTGAGAGATGATGGAAATTATTTACCCTGAAGATCCCAGCACACACACATGCATGCACATATACATAACTACCAATGAGATTTTAAATGTTGCTGAGAATGCAACTGAATGAGACAGCACCAGCAGTGACGCCTATACCCAGTATAAGCAACCACTGTGAGCCTTAGCAGGCAGCATTCTGTAATGAACTTACATTTCTATTTCAGTAACTGTTTATTTAATTCAGGGTGAAAGAATTCTAAATGTTCAATTGATTAAACTTAGAGCGCTTTGTTCTAACTGCCTTGCAGGGCAAGTTAATTACAAAGACTTCATCTCCAGCTAATGACTTAACTACTGATTCACTAAGGCAAACAAATGCTAGATAAGCAATTCAAGGTTCAGTTTATCAAACAGCTTTCTTGCTGGACTGTAAATTAAGTCTTGAAGCACAACTATACATGATGTATGCTGTTCAACGTGCTTTCCCACAAATGCTTGATAGAAATGGATGCTATATGGAAAATATATTATTCCTCTCCCTTACAGATTATAAGTAATGACAGCCCACCTAAAACACAGGCCATGAAGGTTAATGGAAAAGCTTCCATTAATGTGGTGGGCACTAGGTTACCTCTTTGAAGATAACCTTGTCAGACTTAGACTATTAAATATTCTGGTCCGTTGCCTTTTGTGGCCACACTTACCAATAAAATTGCTTTGAAATACATGAAGTTGTGTTAGCAGTCATACTACATGTGTGTGTGACACAGATTTAGCAAACAGTACTAGGGAATAAGGGCCAGAAATATTACATAAGCAATCCAGTTTCACAGAACTGTACTGGCCTAATTTACCTACTTCACACAGGAGCAGTCACTTCAAAGCAAGCATAAAAACACCTACCAACGAGCTGCAATTGCACAGAGCACACTCCCTCGCATGTGTCCTGAATATCCCACCCCAACCTAGGTCTTTCACTGAAACATTCCATTGGTTACAGTGCATTTCATACATATGGGCCGATACAAACTGGGATCAGCAGCACCAAGCACTGCAGTGCCGCTGTAACTGTAATAGAGGATTCAGTACTACAGACTTCCGAGTCTGTGCCACCTCCAGGGGTCAGGAAAGGGTGGCACCTGTATTGGTGTCCCTTCATTAATCACAGCATGAAAATTGCTCAGGCGGCAATGCGGGCTGCTGGGGGAGCAGCACATTTATCTGTCGGAGGCATAAAACAAAGCTCCTACAACCCAGTTCCTTACAGTTACACAACAGAAGTACGCGGGCATCCAGGCAGAGGTACAACTGCCCACACAGCGCACCAGCAGGACGTAACACTCGCGTTACATAAGCGCGCATGGTGCCACAGAGCAGCTCAGGCTGCCCAGAGAGGTTGTGGATGCCCTGTCCATCCCTGCAGGTGTTCAAGGCCAGGCTGGATGGGGCCTTGGGCAGCCTGGCCTAGCATTAAATGGGGAGGTTGGTGGCCCTGCCTGTGGTAGGGGGGTTGGAGATTCGTGATTCAGGAGGCTCGTTCCAACCCTGGCCATCCTGTGATCCTGTGATCCCTCCCTAAAGGCGGAGCCCTCGCAAACCCCCGCCGGATCGAAGCAGGTCGCGAAACGCTGCGGGAATCCCCGCCCCCAAACCCATCAATTTTAAAATAATCAATAAACTAAGGATGGGAACGCAATACCCTAACGTTGCCTAACGCGGCAGAGTTCAAAGCAACCTTCTGTACCAGTTAAAGCCCGCCGGCTATCCATCAGCCCGCCGGCCCCCCACACCGACCACCCGCCCGTGGCCCCCCCCCCCCCTCTCGGCGGGGGATGCGCGGACAGCGCAGGGCGGGGGGAAAAACCCCCCCCAACCCGCGCCCTCACGCGTCCCCCCGCACCCCCGCCCTCCCCACGCCCGCTCGCCCCCGGCCGCCCCGACCTCGTTCCCCGCCCCGGGACCGGGGCCGGCCCGCAGCCGTGCAGTGCGGGCCGCTGCACGCCGGCGCCCGCCGTTACTGACCTAGGTAAAGCACGACCGGGATGAAGCCCCAGCGGATGGCGAACTGACCGCCCTTGAAGAGCTGCTGCAGCCGCTGCTTGGCCTCCTTGCTGAGCTTCGGCATGCCGGCGGCGGGGAGAGAGAGGAGCGGCCCGCCCGCGGACGTCACTCGGCTGCGGTGGGCGGCGCTCCGGGGGCCCTTCCGGGGGCGGTGAGCAGGGGTTCGTTCGGGGGCGGAGGCCGCGGGCCGCCGGCCGCCCTCGTTTGTCCGCGGGCCGTTCTTGTGCCCCGACGTGCCTCTGCGCGCCGCTCTCTGCCGAGGCTGCGGGTAAGTGAAGGGCAGAGATGGAGCGCCGAGAGCAGCGCTTCCGGGTGACGCCGAAAATGGCATTCGCGTTGCGCTGTCCCAGCGTGCGCCGTGTCTCACGTGGCCCGCTGCCTTTGGCTGCCGCGGCGGACGCGGCGCTGCGGCTGTTCGGTGCTGCCTGGGGAGCAGCACGGTCGGGAGCGGCGGGCTGTGCCAGGGCTGCTCCCAAAGCTGGGAGGGGATCCAGTTGTGTATGGAAACCGGGGAGGGGGGGGGGAGAGGGGGAGAATATCCTAGCGGATAAATCACAGCTTGTGGCACTGCAGACATCCACATAGTTCCTGATAGAATCATTAGCGCTGGAAAAGACCACCGAGATCCTCCAGTCCAACCGCCAACCCATCCCCACTGCCCGTGTCCTTCAGTGCTACATCCACGCGCTTCCTGAACACCTCCAGGGCTGCTGACTCCCCCACCTCCCTGGGCAGCCCATTCCAGGGCATCACCTTATGAAAATATTTTTGCCTAATCTCCAACCTGAGTCGTTTAAAATCGCAGTTTACCAGCCAGATGCAGTTATAAAGTTCTGTGTATGTTACATGTTGGTTTGCTTAAGGCACCAGATGGCTTGCAGTTCAGCAGCTCACTTGTCGCATTAACAAAAGGGCAGTACTTTTCGATTAAAAAATAATTCAAATCCAGGATCATAATAAATATCACTTACATAGCTTTTTCTATATTTATTCTTCCAGTACACAGATGCATATGCTGCCTGTAAGAGATTATGAAGATACGAGTTCATACCTTGCTCCTTGCTTCTCAGATATGGACGGGTGACAATCTACAAGCCACATGAGTGATCCTCAGCTGCCTTGCCACTCTCTACCAGTAATCAAAGTGTGGGGGACACAGAAGTGTCTTGGTGATGGAATGACAAACCTGCTGTATGTCAGGGTATAGAATGCACAAACAGCCTTTGTTCATGAAATCCAGTGCACATGTACTCATCTATGCATTGAACAGGAGAGGAAAAGTCAGTATCACATGGTAATATATCTGATGATGTCTAACAGGTAAAGCTGAGGCTTGGAGTCCATGAGTGGCTTCATTGTCAGCTGAACAGCTTATCCCTGTTGGGGTTAGGCAGCATTGTCATGGTTCAGTAGGTGAACGTCAGTATGAAGGGGACTGTGAGTCTACATGTTCTCCAAAAAAGAGTATGCCTTCATATGTTCTCAGACACTAGGAACCAACAAAACATTCTCTAAATAATGCCAGCCATAGAACTTGTTGTGTCAATTGACTCTGTTAGTTATGCTTGATGAGGATTGCCAACAACCAATTCTTTCTGCAGCAGGTGGGCTGCTGGTGTAGGTAGAAAAATACTGGTAATTCATACTTCACTGCACTTCAAAAAGACAAATTTTCTCAATATAATGTTCCAGTCAGAGCTTTATCCAGTTGTTAAGCAAACAGATTTTGTTATTGTTAGCAGATTAATGAGGCGCTTTCAGTAACAAATCCAGAATTTATGGAACATATTAATGAAGATTTTTCTGTGGCAATCTTAGGCAGCTAATAACACAGACAACATAGAAGGCAGAACTGTTTCTCAAATGCTCTGTCAGTTGTTTTTACTAGCTAGTATTAAAGGTTATTTTGTACTTACCAAAGTGGTCACACATTCCTGCTTTGTCACATCTAGCGCAGTAGTTCTGCATCAGCGTGTTGCTGTATTTCCATTCCTTAAATTGAGTACTTTATGCCTATTGTTACTTTTTTATTATTATTATCTTTTATTAAAGCTGGAAATTTGAAGTCAGTAATGACTGCTCATGTTCAACTTAGAAGTGGCATCTTCCCTCCCAAGAACAGCTTTTATAAAATACTCTAAAAGATCGTGAATCCTGTTGTACCATGCCATGTGTCAGTTCCTTTGTGACTGCCATACCCATTGCATAGCACTAACAAATTCAGATCTTTCCACTTCTTGCCTCTAAGGAGATGTTTTCTTCAATTTTAGGTAATTGTAGTGCAAGTGGGATTCATAAGGTTGAGTGTACTAAATAATTGATCCAAATGATTTAACAGCTCTGTCTTCTTCAGGTATAAACCTGTTTAACTGTCTCTAGTTACATCAGTATGGATGTTCTTGAGAAAGGGTATTTGTAAAAATGTGCCATCTGTGCTCCTTCTTCCATCCTTTCCTTTACATATCAAGTCAAGGAATTATTTTCAGAGAACGGGAACTTTCCTTGATAGCTCTCATTTCTTGCATCTGCAGTGTGTTATGACTGGACATCACATTTTACTTTATTATGATAATTAAGCTGTCTTCTGTGCCCTTGTAAGGATGGTCCTTTTCTTCCATTCCATTTTAATATTCATTTAATACATCCCAGCTACTCTGCAGTACCATTGGTCTAGGAAACGCAGATTTTCAGTTTGCAGAGACCACGTTTTGCAGAGATAAATAGAAATGGAAAGCACTACTGCAGCCAAAAAAAACTAAGGCTATGCGATTGTGCTGCTTGGGAAATGCCAGAATTCTGTGACATCTCATTTTCTCTTGATAGTTGTAAAAGCAATAATACTTGGGCTTAAATATGTTCGGGTTTCTTAATTTAGCATATTTTCAAAACATATTTGAAATGCAGAGCAGAGATGCATATAAATTTTTTTTCTGTCTGGATTACTGTCTCTTTCATATGATTTTCTGTGTGATACACCATTGGCTGTACTCTGGCCACTGTAGGGTATTGGATAGCTGCCTTGCACAGAGATCTCAACAAATTAAGGGGCTGGCAATAATCAACCTCATGAAGTTTAACAAGAGCAAGTGCTGCATTCTGTACCTGGGCTGGGGCAATCCTGGCTGTACATGCAGACTTGGGAACAAGAGGATTGAGATTTAATATGGAATTGAGAGCAAACACAATAATAATATTATTTTCCATTTCAGCTCCTGAAGCCAGTGAGGGAGAAACAGCTGTCTGAGATGAAACAACATTCAACAAAACCTCATCAAATGCTTTCAGAGGTCTCTGAAAAAAAAGTATTGTTGTGCTTAAAAATAGAATATTATCTGCTACTCAACTTTATTTTCATTTGGAACCTGACTGTCCCATTATCCTCATTTTCATTTAAGAATGAAAATGTTGCATTAAAGATACTGCTACCTTTCTGTAAGTGGTTACTCTAAAAACATCACAGTCCTTATACGCACATTGCTGTGATTGCAGTATTTGGCCAGGGATGAAAACAATCATCTGATTACTTGCATACTTACAGTGATATGCAGAAGTCTGATGGATTAAAGGATTTTCTGAGGCCAAAACTAATATCCATATTCTCTCATTCTTTGTTTTTAAATTAACTTTTGGGTTTTTGTTTTGTTTTAAAGCATCTGAGGAGAGCAACTGTCAATGGCTTTAGAAAGATTTTCCTCAAAAAACATTTGAATGCATACTTTCTAATTGTCAACCAATCTCATCTAGAGATAAAATCTGAAAAGATTTTATAGGATTTAAAAGGCCTGCCTGTTTTAGGCAGATTCTTACTATGATGGAAACAAATGAGGAAAAGAATGATGATATTTCTACAACAGTCTTTGCTCTTACTGTCTTTGTTTATACCAATTCCAACCTTAGTACATTGAATTAAGGTTAGGCAACCTTAAAACAGAGAATGTAAGGTCTTTATCATAGTTTACACAAAAATGGATATGAAAATGAGGTATTTCTCTTTGGTAGAGAACATGGATGTGGAGCATTTGAAAAATAAGAATTGTAATTAAAATTCATATACAACCTTTTTTTAGAGTATCTGCTCTCAGCATTGACATACTGACAGCCTGAGACACTTACCTGCAGTGTTCCTTTGGACTCTTTCCAGTAATGCATAGAGTACTGTCACCATGTGGGAAAATACTCACCGGTGTTTCAATGTGGCATTGCTGTTGCTTTTCACTCTGGATTACTAAAAAGCTCCTATAGTTGATCTACAAGGGCAAAATTGAGACGTTCTGGATACTGGGGTTATTTTTTCAAGGAGGGTGATTTGTAGCAGCAGTGCATATGGCACTAATCAATGAGAGTTGAGAAGACTTTGGCCTAGCATCCTGCCCAAAGAAGAAGAAAAGAGGTTACAAGAGATTTGCTATGTTCCTTATCATTGCTTCATATGAAACAATATACATACTCCTGAAGTTTTTATTTTGAATCATTTCTGCAATAATTTTATCAGGTGCATAGGATATCCAAGCAACTTTTGAAAATTCCTTATGTTCTGCGTTATAAAATCTGTTGTCGGTACTTGGCACAGGCTACAAATTTGACCCTTATTTTCAAGCATTTAAAGGCCCAAAATAAAATTATCGTTCTGTAACACTTTTTTTTTTTTCTTACATTTATTCAAGATTGCATTAACTATATATCCAGCAAAATTGCATTTTACTCCTTCATTTTAGGAGTAGCAGTCTTTAAGTAGCAGTCACAGGAGATTAAATGCGGTTCAGCATAATGAAGCATGAAGATGACAAGAAAAATGAACCAGAGGTGCCTTATCTCCCAATTCATAGCAGTACAAATTTTATATTCCAGACACGGATGCCACCTTGGGATTGAAGTCGTACTGTGTGAATCTGTGTAAGTATTATTTTCCAATTACCTTCCTGCTTTAAATGTAGAAAAGAAAACGAGTCCTCCTGAATTAAGAGATGTGTTAATTGCATGTGGGATTTGTGATGGAAAGTTCTCTCTAAAATAAACAGTAATAGAAGTTGGTCTTTCACCTATCAGGAGGAAAACTTGCTTCTAGTGAGAGAATGCTAGACTGGACTGACATTGGTCTCTTTTATGACGTTATTACTGGACTGACATATATAGCACAGTATATTAGAACTGTTAATTGTATCATAGCATAATATTTTTCTGCAGTTTTTCTGTTAAATCCCTCAAAAACCACGTGCAGAAAAGTACTTCTCATGTGTATGTTAGTTTTGGCAACTGTCTGATCTGAATGAAATGCTGGTGGGCTTTTAAAAGCCTGAAGAACAGGAATCAGGCAGTGAGCCTACATGAGCCTTTAAAAAAAAAAAAAGATATTTACAAAGTATTTATCTATTACAAAAATGAAAAAAAATAGAAGTTGTCTAAAGGTTTCAATTAATAAACTGTCAGCCTTTATGAATTTAGTTCCCCTTCTTCGTTACATAAATATTAATTCAAATATTATTAGCAGTGTTTCCTTAATACCAGTGGAGGGCAGACTTGAACTGGAAACTCTTTTTCTGCTTTGATTTCCTGAAATTAAAATACAAGATAGTTCCTCAGGCTCAGAGCTGATGGCGTTCTCATCACTTCTCCACAATTCTAATTACTCTTGCACTGGGTAAAAGCTTCTTTACAATTGCTGTTTGACAAAATGAGTGTTTTGCTATGTCACAGAAAAGAAATGGTGAATGTTTAGATAAAAACAATCATGTGAAAGTGGATGAGTCAGTTTATTAGCAGCTGCGTGATATTCCCCAGGGAGGATCCACACTGCTAAGCAATTAATCATGTATATCTTAAAATGGCTTTTAAAAGTGAGTGAATATCATTATCCCCACTTTGCAGGTGAAGGAACTAAGGCGTAGGGAGGTAGCCTTGGAAGATGTCTGTCTAGGTGACTTGCAGATGCAAGAACAAAATCCAGATTTCTGTGATTTAGTCCAGTGCTCAAGCACATTTTTCTGCATAAATGACAGTAGGACAAGCTGTTGCAAACACTGTGGAAATGATGCAGTTGAAATTGCTGAGAAGCTCACGCTGGTGAAATAGACAGGTAACCTGAGAGACAGAGCATAGGTGCTGAGAAGAATATTGTCCTCAGGAAGTTAGGTGGAGGTCAGATCAGGTGGCCAAAGGTCTGCATTAAAAATAGCGTATTTTTACTAAAACAAGTACTCTGTGTTTTTGTATATATTTGTCATTAAGTTAGATTGTGCTCTCTCCAAGGAAGGAGCCTTTCGATGTAGGCCTTCAAAGCCATTCCAATCTCAGTAGTAGGAAATGTGTACTTAAAATGTAGGTGAAGGGTGAAGATGCTAAAAAATTGTTCCTCCTCTCCCATCATCTTAAATTGTGAGCAGAATGTGAGGCTTCCTATGAGTCACCAAGTCCACCGTATCTACTGTACCCACGGTCAGTAGCATTTGTGAGGTTTATGTGACTCACCATTGAATGCTATCCTTCATTAAGGAGCTACGCTTAATAGCTAAATACAATCACTAATTTTATTTGATTAAATACATGTATTCCACTTTGTCTGTGTGCTCTTATGAAGTCATTATTAGTTATAATAGCTTTTTAGAGCATAAAATGGCTCTGCTTTTTTTTTTTTTTTTCTCCTTAATCAGCCTCAGCATATAGATTGTTCTTTCCCTTTCTAGAAAGGGCTGGAGGCACACCATTACAAAGCCTCCCATTTCTAAGAGTTGTGTAAGATATACCGCAGAACATTTGGTGTTGCATATTAAAAGCTCTGTAGATGTAGAGTGAACAAGCTCCTTACACGCTGCATTTTTCCCCTTTTTTCCTCTTACTGCCAGTTTGCAGTGGCAACATGCTGATGGTGTGAATTAGTCATTAGTTTATGACTCCGAGGAAAAGGACTGGTGAAAATTGTAAGTTAGAACGTAAGTAAGTGGACACTCACCATTCAGAATGAAATACTGCATAACCTGTGAGTGTGTTACTATAATTTCTGGTCTATTTCCAAACAAATGATGTTAAAACAGGAGTCGGAAATATCTGGTAGGGATTTGAAGTTCAATGTGGCAGTAACCCCAAAGCCTATTACTTTACATTCAAGGTTTCTCCGTTAGACCTCTTTAATTCATCCCTGATTATAAATTGCTGTCTGTAAGTTTCCAAAAAATTGTTTAATACTCCCAGGCCTAATGCTCTAATTTGGGGCAGAATACAATACCATAATGCCATATTTTCAGTGCAGAATTACACCTTATCTCCAATAAACCACCAATGTCTTCCAGTATTTTTTAGATTTAATGTATTTCAGCACGCAGAATCTTTAGCTTGTGTGGTTAATCTTTTTTCTTAGTCTTTAAGCAGAACTGAGTCTCTTCATTCTCAGTGCAGAAGTGCAGTACAACAGAAGAACAAATCCATTCTGCAGGTGGAAAGAGAAGCTGTGGGTTCATGGTGAGGACAGCACCCATCTGCCCCAGATAAATGTAAGTCCATCTTCCCAGCTTGTAGGTGCCTTTGTTTACCTTTTGCTCCATAACAAAACCAGAAGCTGCTTGATAAAATTCCCTTTGGATTACAACCATAAATAAACCCATTCTGCATTCTTAAATACAGAATGCAGTTTTTGTGGCAGATAGCTTGTAAGCTGTAAACATAAAAATCACATACGAATAAATAAGCGTTGAGAAAGCAGTTATGTGACATAAAGTGTGTATGAAGAAAATGCTCTGAATATGGGAAAAAATGAAAGGATAGCTCCACAGCAGTAGTAGCTGTACCTGCTCAATACACTGAGTTAAGGGAGACTTCTACCTTGCTGTTGTTGTCTCTGTAACTAATTACATCTTAAAATCTTAAAACCACTGACAGTTAAGGGAAAACAAACTTGTGCATTTGGGCATGGCAGGTCTTTTCTGCTGCAAGCTTCACAGGAGCTTCTGCCTCCACACTGATCTTTTCTTACACTGCTCTTAGGTAATGTGTCTTCTCTCTTGTTTGTAATTATTTCTCCCTTTTATTTGTAATACACAAAATATTTAAGAAGCTCATGATTTAAGAGTAATTAAGATAGTGCTACCTCAAGAACATCAAATGTTACTCTTATGTACGCTCATATTTGTTCTGCTGAGCAGGCCCATCTCAGTGACAGAGGGAACTGCAAATAATACAGGCTGACATCAAACTAGCTATTGCTGTAAGCAGGCAGAACAAAAGTTATTTCTGCATTTCTTGACACAGAAACACATGGATGGCTATATATTGTGTGAAAAAAAACCACTACATTGTTGTGTGCTTATGACAAAAAAACAGGAATCCTTTGCCAATAAAATACTGTTATTTTTGGATAAACAAAACCAAAATCAAAGAAGAGCAAACAAGTCTATATATGCCGTGCATAACACACAGTCCCATTTCATCAACATTAGTGATTTTAGCAGTGTACTTCCTGAAATGGGAGTTTTCACTAGAATGAAAATTGCTTCCACATCACTTGGAAGTAAAGCTCACTGCTGTCAGGTTGCCAGAACCCCTAAATGAGTGCTCAAGCATCATTACCTCTTTCAGTGATTTCATATATTTATACTTACTGTCACAAGTAGGAGAGGATCAGCAAGGATTTGTTCCTTGTTCAGAAGATCATGGAGTCTGCTACCTGCCAGCAGGCCCTGCTTCCAGCAGCTGAAGCTCTTACTCATCACAAATCTTGTTCCTGACATACTTCAGCATCCAGTACTTCTTTTACACCTTCCGAGGTCCTTTATTTAGGTATTTCTTCTTCTCCCCAGTTGCTCCAAGCCAGAAACATATCCCTTTACATAGAAGATTCTTGAATTTGTTCACACTGCTTTTTTGGCATTTGTTTCCTTGGTAAGTTCCACTTCTGTAGACTGTTCAGTACTAAGTGTATTGTGAAAGTCTAGGTGGTATTCTACATTATAAATCACAGATACACACAAGATTGGCAGGATTCTTGAATACTGGCCTGCAGCATCCCAGATCCATAGTGCCAGAGAGAGATGCGGACAGATCTTTGGTCTTGAAGGCCAGAATTTGGTCATATTCACAGACACGTTTGGAAGCTTGCAAAAGGTGGCCAAGAGAAGGAACAGGGGATGTCACTGATGAGCTGTGCAGAAATGTCACCTCCTGGAGAACCATCTAGTAGATGGACTACATCTGAGTTCTGCTAATGCTCTTCATTAAGCAAACACGTTCAGCACTGCTGCAGTCACGACTGGAATACACAGCACACCAGCATATGTTGAAATCCAGGACGCCCAGTTCAACAGAAAGAGTGAGTAATATAAATGGCATTAACTGAAATAAATTTCAGGATGTTTTTTGATGGAAAGCATGCTCATATCTCAAAATCAAACCTTTCAGTAGACAAATAAATGGCTTCAACATTTTTCAGGGAAATCTCAGTAGCATTCCTTGGGCTCGTAGGTCAAGCTTACTACAGTCGAGCAGGCTTAAATGCAATATTACAATGTTTTTTGCTTCTTACATATTTTGAATGGAACATAACAATGAACACACATTCTTGTGTTTCTGATGCATTCTTTTCCTGCAGAAGCCCCAGCTGGTAGTAAAGCAGGTCACAGCACAGACATTTCTGTAGAGGAGAAGCTCCTGCAGCAGGTGAGCCCTGTACTGACAGCAAGCAGTTCTCACACTGCAACATTGTGATTAGCTGTGTTAAGCAACATATAAATCATGAAGACAAAGTGCTGCTGAGCAGTGAGGCAGCTTTCCCTGTCCAGGTTGTAAGAAGCAGCCACAATTACCAAATCAGTGCCTTGGCACTGAAAGTGCACAGCACAGTGGAGCAGGTTAGTGGGCTTGGGTCCCTTCCTCTAGAGGAAAGTTTGTGCTGCAGTTTGGCCTCACCCACCTTCGGGCAGCTGAGTTTCTGTTGACTCGAAAGGAAAGCAAAAAGTTTGAGAAATGCTGCTAAAAGGCCTCACATTGTCTGACATCCTGAGACAAGAAAAAATGGACGTTGACTGCAAGCCGTAAAGACTCTGACCTGTGTGTAACCTTTCAGTACTGCTGCGTCCTGCTTTTGGTTTTGCCCTGCTCACTTGGGTTATTCCGTGCATTGCACAAAGAGTTTCAAAGACAGCTCCTGTAAGCCAGTTACCTGTAACCGATCCTGGGAGCAGTTACACTGCCAGCACGGAAATAAAAATACTGGGCCCAAAAGTCAGCCTTGTCTTGTCTGTCAATGCAGTTTCCATGTGCAGGAACAGCTACAGGGGAGCTGCTGCCACCAACCAGGAGTAGCTCTCAGAAGAAGCATGTATCCATGTGGCTCCGTAACAGTGTTGCAAAAATACCACATTTGATCTCTGGGTAAAGTGGAAAAAGCAGAAGGGTGGTTTTTTTACACCACAAATAGAGACAAGTGCAGGCAGTGCGATGTACGAACACTTAGATTTTAAGCCAGCACTTCTGGGCACGCTGTTCAGAAGTGCAAATGCTTTCAAAAAGTGCCTTTCAGCTCAGCCTGGTAGAGCAGAGGACCCTAAGCAACTGCCAGTGGGCTCACATCTCACCTCTTGGCTTCACACATACCCAAGTCCACCTTCATTCCAGGTGTGTGGAAATGCCTGCACCTCTCCTTAGTGACAGAGTAAAGCAAAACTGTATCTGAAGGATATTGCACTGATTTCAGAGAAAAAAAAATGCATTTGATTGTGGGGTAGCACATACAGTGAGATTGCTATCTACCAAAATCAGATTATTTCTGTGCTGACCTTCTGGAGCAAACTTTTCTGACTGAAGTTATTGTGAGGAGAACGTGGTAGCAAAATGGGCAAACCATTAATTATCCTACTATTTTCCACCTATGCTTTTGAGTCCTCTGCATCAGGTGGAAATGATGTCTTCTTGTCCCCCAGGTACAGAGGATAAAAGTGTCAGTGACGCATTTTCACTTCTGGCTCAATGCATCGGGACATTTCCCCACCTTCTAACAGCTAAATGTTATCAGGTCTCCTCTCACCTTTTCAACAGAATGCTTCAACACTACTCACCAGTTTTTGTTCAAGACAGCAGGGAATGAAGCTCATCAAACACATTGCCTACAGCATGCAGTCTGACACACTGGACTAATAATAGCTTTCCTGTCATCACAAAATATCACATTTATGTGTGGCATCCAGAATGGAGCCAACCAAACTGAGCTGCATGGCCACACGTCTGTCTACACACACTTATTCACATTGGTGGGCACCAGGAAAGGACAGGCAGCAGAGCAGCCATCCACATACTGTAGACACGATGTGTTTTTCAGACAAGTTTCCTTCTCTTAAGCTCTGTAATTGCTGTCATTAACACTGAGCAGTATGACAGCAAAAGAAGAATCCCACAAATGTAATGGATCAACTTATGAAAAGTTAAAATTTGTCAATTTTAAGTAGCTAACCATCATTTCCCTTTTGTCATATATTAGGAGGGCCACCAAGATGATCAGAGGGATAGGGATGGAGCTCCTCTCCTGTGAAGAGTGCTTAAGGGAACAGGCCTTTATTTAGCTTGGATAAGAGAAGGCTCTGGGGAGACCTCACTGTAATCCTCCAATATTTGAAGGGAGCTTATAAACAAGAGAGGGAATGACTTTTTACAATGATAGATAATGATAGGACAAGGGGGAATGGTTTTAATTGGTTTTTTTTTTTTTGGTCTAGCGGTTGGCAATCCTGTCCATGGCAGGGGGGTTGAAACCAGGATGATCATTATGATCCTTTTCAACCCACACCATTCTATGATTCTGTGATAAACTAAGACGGGGAGATTTAGGTTTGGTATTAGGAGGAAGTTTTTCACTCAGACAGTGGTGACACACTGGAACAGGTTGCCCAAGGAGGCTGTGGATGCCCCATCCCCGGAGGCATTCAAGGCCAGGCTGCATGTGGCTCTGGGCAGCCTGGTCTGGTGGTTGACAATCCTGCACACAGCAGGGGGGCTAAGCTAGATGAGCATTGTGGTCCTTTTCAACCCAGGCCATTCTATGATTTTATATAATTCCATGCAGTTATTGGGGTTTTTTGTTGTTGTTCTTTTTGAGATAATTCAGTCATGTACTATATAACATCTCACCTAAATCTCCCCACTTTAGCTTAAAGTCATTAATAAACTAAGTGTCCAGCCCTGCTGTCCTGCTTCACAGTGCAGGCCCAGTAAGAAAAGCTGCAATTAATAAGTAAATGAAAGCTGTCTGCAAGCACGTCCTCACAGCACAGCAGATAGCATGGAGGCTTCTGTTACAGCTGAAGGGTCATAGAAATCTAATCCATTGTGATAATTAAAAGCTGACAGGAGATGAGCCCCTGACCTTGTGATTCATGGAGTTTTTCCTCAACGGCACAAGGGTTGGTTGCAACCTGGCCACCCTCTGAAGCCCTGAGGTCCCCCTGAGGCACACATTGCAAAATGGGGCACACTTGGACATGCAGTGCCCAACCTCTCCGTACCCCTGAGTACAGCAGGTGCAGCACTGAGCGATGTACTGAGCGCCACGCTTCAGCCTTTGGACGTGCATCGCTGGACTGAGTGACCACTGGGTGGCAATGACAATCTCCTGGAAAACATTTTCCTGCATTTGCTGATATCAGCTTCCTTTCCTGCTCCTCTCCTTCTTTTCGTTATTTTTTTTTTTTTCCTAGGGATATTTTGTTCAACAACTTCCAGAAGAGATAAGGATCTACACTTATTGATAGAATTTGTCTTCCATCAAGAAAACCATCAATGCTCAAACGCACACAGAGCAGAACAGAGCCAGGGCACTGCCCGCAGCCACCCCACGCTGATTCCCTGTTTGGTTCCCACAGCACTCCCCACTGCCCAGGATGCCCCCAACAAACAGACACAGCACAAAGCACAACTGAAAGGGGCTGCCCGTGCTGCAGTCGGCTGGGGCTCACGGTAGCAGAGTTCTCCTCTTTGTGTCTCGTTTTGCTCAGCTTCTTCATTCATTCAGAGCTGCCTGCAGAGACAGATACAGAGGAAACGAACCAGACAGAGCCGCTCTCACAGCTCCTGTTTTGTTCTCCAGTCACCTATTTCCCCACAGCTCAGCACATAGTGTGCTTTATGCAACGTCTTCTTTCTTTCAGGCATGAAACAAAACTGTCTCTCAGTGCTGAGCAGGACCATGCCAGCTTTTCATAGAGGAGGAAGGAGTAATTACAGGGATTACGAGTGTGGCGCTGAATGTCAACATATATTAAAGCTGTTTAATATCTTGAAATAGAATATCCTTCCACCTGAGGCACTGTCTTTCTGCCTAGAATTAAATTATGGCATCAACTGCCTTGGATCTACCTAGTAACTCATTTTGTTGGCATACTTAAGAAGTTGTTCATCTCAGCATTACCAGAGCACATCAAAACTATTTTGTGCTCGCAGGCAGCACGGCAGCTTCACCCAATGCTCCTCTGAAGGCACAAAAAACACTCTGTCACTCACTGAGAGCATGCTGCTGCCTGCATCCCCTATGCCAACCTCTGGAAAAAAGACAGGTGATAGCAGTGGATGCTACACAACACCATCACCCAGTCCTTTCTTCAAGCTATTTATCTCTACACCCCTTTGCTTTGGAGTGATGATGCCAAGCAGTGGAGTAATCACTGAGAGACCAAAGCGCAGTGGTTCAGGAGCACTGCTAGGGATCAATGGTGGGTCCCATCCTGGACCTCTGAACTCACCCGTTCCAGCCCATGTTGCTGCCTGCAGCCTCCTGCCTTTCCTCCTTGCAGATCTCTGCCCACCCCAAGGCACAGGAAGAAGCCAGGTTCATATTAGGGTCAATGACAACGCTTCTGTAGCGAGGTTTCCTGAACTAGCAGAACAAAAACAAGAGCTCACACAACTGAAGGTATTTCAAGTTACAAAGGCAGCCTGCAAGGCAGGTGAGAAGCTCCTTTGCAGACTGAACAGCAAATGAAAAAAAAACCTTACATTTGTCAGAGGATTGAGGTAGAGCTGAATAGCTGTCACTCAGTTACAGAGATACACTCACATCCTTGATGCTATTGTACATTTAAACCTCAAAGCAGCTGAAGGTATTAGATATTTTTAAGTGGGATTCTGACTAAAGAATGGCAGAAATAAGAATGCAGTAAAGAGATCTGTGCTCCAGTTCTACCCTCCATCCCTGCTTTAGGTGTTCAGGAGTGCTGCTATTTCACACTTACTCAAAAAATCCAAACCGATTCAGTTGAACTGTGGGCCCCCAGTACCATCTCTGTTATTTCCAGTGAATCACTGCCTCAAGGCCTGCAGCACCAGTGAGTCAGGTCTATTCCTCCTGGACTTCTACCTGTTAGTAAGGCCCGTAGTGAAAATAGGGCAACTGCTGGCATTACTCAGGGCTATGCTAAAATGATTGATCCAAACACTTGTTTGAGTGTATTTTGGCCCTGTGCAGCGAGGTCCTGTCCAACAGGAACATCCTCACACTACAGAAATCCACCATCACACTTCAGCCTGAGAAGCTGCAGCCAGGAGCATTGGCCTTAGTCAGCACTACAGCAGTAACAACTGCTGGGCTTGTCTGCGTGACTCAGCCCCGCTGCCACCAGACCTGCTGCACCATTACGTTCAGCAATGTCCCAGGAAATTCAGGGTAACAGCCAATTAAACTTGCCCTCATTTCAGAGTCAATGAAGCAACACCTGCAGCAGAGAGGCTTGTGCCGCAGCGGTTGCCCCAGTCACAGGGGCACGCTCCTGTCAGCCAGAACTGGCAGCTGTTGTTACCCGGCAGCCGCCGGGTGAGAGAACACAAGTGTGCTGAAGTTCCCTTTAATACAGAGCCAAATTAACACTGAATATAAAAAGCATCCAAATTAAATGCAGGCGGCCAGCTGTACAGTCTATACAAACAAATGCCATTCCAAATTCTCAATGCTTGCGCTACCTGCAGGTTCCCCTCCCACTCCACAGTGCCCTACAAAGAGGCTCTCTGTTCTATTTCCCCCCCAGCTAAGAGCTGTGCTTTGGAGTTACCACTATTTTCTTTTGTACTTCCTGCCACATTTTGGGAAAAGGAGATTCAAACTCTCTTCCACTAATCAGTAACTATTCCTACTTGAAACCACATTAAGAGCCCATCCTAAGCATTCCTTTTCACTCACTGTCACTGAGATAGCAAATATTACACTCTCCTGGGACAGTCACAGACCCAAGTTCAACCCCTACACTTCCTGGCTAGGAATCCCTGGCTAAACCCTTGCCATACCAAGCGAACTGTTAAGAATCTGAGATTTCCTTTCTCATCTACTCATACAAAGGTAATTCGTGTTTTGACCATTTGAATCAACAGGTTAAAGATTTGGGATTTAAAAAAAAAAGAAAATGAACATTGTTCCCAAAACATAAGATTCTCACAGCTGCTATTTAGACAAGCTCTTCCATTCATGCAGGTTCCTCCAACAGCGTTGCACCAGAGACCACATTTGTAAGGGTAGGTTAAGGAACTTTGTACAAAATGCAACCCCTCACCTGCAAACACACCTTGTCTGTTGGGAGACAGGGAGGCCATCCTGAAGGGCAGTGGGACCCAGCAGAGCCGGGGGCTCCCCCAGGCTCACAAACTGGCCCATCCCAACACACTGGAAGTCAAGCAGAGCCAGCAGGCCTGTATGCACAGACATGGGGCTCTCAGTTCTACTTACCTATGAAAAGGAAGCACACAAGAGGTGGAAGCAGGAGACCAAGGAGGATTACAGAGACTCTTTGAGCATGCACAGGTAGGGCTAGGAAATCCAGTCTTCATGCAGTGCCCAGGGGCAGCGCAAGGGGCAGTGAGCACAGAACCAAACTGCATGTGGCTTTAAGCTCGAGGCAAAGGAGGTGGATGAGATGATCTCCAGCCTCAGCCATGCTGTGGTTTTTCTGAAAAAGGAACCTAAGCACCACTTCTGTACTGTCAAAGCTGGAGAAGTGATACACTTTCTGGCTGAGCAGCACAAAAACCACCACACTACTTCCAGAGTTTTACAAACATATCATTCCCAAGAGACTTGGTACAACTGACCTCCAGGATTGCTGGCGCTTCAAACACAGAAATAGTGAGAACTGCTGAACAGAAGATCTAATGAAGATACAGAGCAGTCGTGTATCAAAATGCTGCTATATTAAGGTTATCACAGAGCTGCCCAAACAGCACCACATCAGTGACAAGGATGGCCACGTTTCTGGCTACAACTCACCTGCTTGCAGGCACCTGAGGGTCAGCACTTCTCAGCCAGGTGGGTTGGGCTGGGTGACTTGCCTGCTATCATAGAGCCCGTGCTGTGTGCAGGACAGCTGTTTGGCATGTTGAAAGGAAGGAAGGCAACCTTACCAGGGCTTCTACACACATGTAACGAAAAAGCTGAATATGTAAACACTGTACTTCAACAAAGCCTGTAGAAACAGGCGACTTTTCCTGCTGTATTAAGTACTTATGAAAGCACCAACTTCAAAATCCACCAGTTTATTTTACTGGCCAAAGTATTAAACACTAAACAAAACAAGTCTTTAGTTGATACAATAGGAATGTAAATTTTCTTGTACAATTCAGAAAACACTGCAAGGTTAAAACCTTTACTAAAAATTGCTAAAGCAAAACATCACTCAGCAAACCAAAAACTGAGGAAGTGTGGCACGTTCAGACTCAGACCCTCAGGTGAAGAAGCATCCAGCTGCAGTCATCCTGCTGGTTTCAGCAGACACTGTGAAGTGTGCACATCTAGTCTGCTGTTTTAGAATTACAGAATTAAACAGAATTATACACACATATATATGCAGCAATGTGAGCCTCAAACACTGAGAAAAGTTGTCAAATAATTCACTTAGAAATTTCTAAAATCCTCATAGACCACAGACCTACTCAGCAGGGTGGCAAAAAGTGCTGTATTTTTGTACTCATCAAATCCATCGGGTATTCAAGACAATTCAGTGGCATTTCACTCCCTTTAGAAAACCCACTGCAGTTCTAGATCAAGTGGTTGGAGGCCATACAGTTTTTGCACAAATGCTATAGATTTTCTAAACAAAAACAATTCTACTCAGCTTTTAAGAGTTTTGAAAATGTTGCTCTTCAAAGTTGTCATTGGCAACAGTTTCCTCCGATTCAAAACAATGAGGTCAGTTGTAAATGTCAGCATTCAGCAACTTCTGTCATTATAATTGGAGATGATTCACTCCCACATAACATTTTTTCCCTGCAGAATGTTGCAACTATGTGTGACATTTGGAGTGCATTCATCAGAACGACCTACTACCGGGTAGACTACAATATGTAACGATAGAATAGCCAGAAAATAGGAAAAAACTGCTTCTTTAGTATATATATTAAAAAAAAAAAAAGAAAAAAAAAAAAAAAAGAAAAAACCCTGCTTGTTTAGTATACTTTTCTTTCAGTCTAAAATGATCAGATAATGCTAAAAAAAAACTGAGGCTTTCAATATTTCAGAAGTAACAAGAAAGAATTAATAGCTTTGTTTCTGGCCCCACCTTCCCTTTGATTCTGCGTTGGAAGCAGTGCAGCACATCTTCTGGAACACACTGCAGACATTCAGACAACAAATAGTTCTGCCTTCCTTCCCCCACTGCATTTTTGCATACTTTTGAAGAAAGCAGCACAGCTGGAAGTTATATTATTTTCATTAGTAAAGAAATTGTTGAGACTCTGTCAGCATCAAGGAGTGATGACTGTTCACTAAGACATGCTTATTGCCTGTGTCACCCCAGAGACTTAAGCATACGTACTTACAAGGACACACACCTATGGAAGCAGCAGGCTCTGGTACCAAGAAAATTTCCCTTCACTTTCTAAAGGAAACATGAAGACTCAATGTAATCCTGGTCATACCAACATGAGTTTCTGTTTCAGGTTCAAGTGAGACCACAACTAGAATTGTTATTTGTATAAAATAAAAGGATAAACTAACTTTATTGACTTAATAGCATCCCAGTCATGTTATGTATCTACACTCAAGGGCATTTTAGATGCTTCAGGACTGGCATGACTTGCAGCTGAGGTGGCTACATCTCCCAGATATAAGGGATGCCTTTGACATAAACACCTGGTTTGAAACACTATCTACTCTGACACAGTCATGAATTAAATGAATCCAAACCAAGAGAATTACATGGTAGTTCTAGCTCCTCAGTGCTAACTCATAATCAGTGCAGTCACATTTGCCAATTGCAATTTTATCTACCTATTCTCGTTTTTATTTCAATTTTAGTTACTGTGTTTCCATGATATCGTTAAACACAACTCCACAAGAGGAAATCAGGTGGCAGCTGGGAGTTCTGCAGGTTATTTTTTCATCATATCCAACACAGATGTCAAGGAAAGGAAGAACTCTACATTCAGTATGTGCTTGCAGTTCTCCAGCTGCCTGAAAAACCCTTCTGTTGCCTCGCTCTATTGTTACTTATGTTAGTCCAGACATGCTGGTCAATGTGAAGCAAACACATTAGTATCAAATGTGTATTTCAACAAAGTCTAATAATAATTAAAAAAAAAAAACAAAAAAACAAAAAAACAATAACAATACAGGCAAATTTTCTGCTGTATAAAGTACTTACAAAAGCACATAATTTCAAAAACTACCAGTTTATTTTACTGGCCAAAGTATTAAACACTAAACAAGTCGATAGTTTGTACAATAGGAATGTAAATTTTCATGTACAATTCAAAAGACATTTCACTGTGAGAAGGTGAAATACTACAATGCAAAAACAAAACAGTGTCATTCAATGAACTGAAGAACATGAGAAAGCATGGTACATTCATTTACACTCAGACTCAGCTGAAGACAAACACCTTGGACTGCTGCAGCTACTTCAACAAGTTGAAGGAATATCATGAAATGTGCACGACTAGTTTGCTGTCTTAGAAGTAGAATCATACGACTAACCGCCTATCAGTTACGTCTTCTCATCTCTTAATTAATCAACTACAAACCTGAATAACATTAGCTGCTTAAATGTTACTTGTGCTTCAGTTTAAGTTAAAAAAAGGACACCAACATTCATCTCTAGGCAGATCAGAAAGTCTACCAGAACGTTCACGTTAGTGCTTGGGTCTGTTCCGAGGTCTTTCTACGTCCTTGACACAAAGGATCACTAGCTGCAGAAATCAGGACTGCTGGGAATTAGCAGCCATTAGATCCTCACCCCGATTCCACACCACGCACCAGGATTTGCTGTCTATCAGATCATCACTGCCACTGATTTTTTGCTTCTCCAAATTTCCACGTAAACCATTTTAATGTTTGTTTTTAATTAAAGCCTGAAGCTTATAAAAATTGGTATCAAACAAGGTCACCATACAGGTCAGGTAACTTAGAACATGTTACACTTTGACAATTTCTAACTAGAAAAATAATAGATACAAAACACTAGCAATTACATTGCTAGTTATATTTACATTGTAATTTCCCTTTGTGCTTGCAAGTTTCCGAAAGTACACATCCTTTGGTACTATTAGTCTCAAGTAACAAGTTCACGGTAAATGCAGTTACACTCCTGAATTGTTTGATTCAGTGCAAAGGGTTCATACCTTATTTTCCACACGATACCTCTACGTAAGCACATCTCTTCCTCTCATAAATAATGCAAATACCAGTGACAGCAACTTTTCCATGAGAAGTTTTGTGCCCAACATTTAAGAAACTGAATACAGAGTCAGTCACACTTGTCTGAAAAGTGACTATTAGAGTCGGTGATAAGAACTGCCATCCACAAGTACTGCTACCACGTGACATTTGGCCCAGTTTCAAAGATTCATATATAAAACAAAATGCATCTTTACCTCAGATACTTGTAGGCGTACAGAAATATGAACACTGCAGTGTATACTGACAAAAACCACCATAACATCAAACACTAACTGATGCTTCTAGTTTTAACCTCACATGTAAGTATACCTTCCTCATAACTCACAGAAGAGCACTTGTATTCTTACAGTGCCTTTCCAAAATGTTATACTCATGCTGCAAGGCTCCTCTTAAAAGAGATACTTGCAGTTTTATGTATGCTAAGTAGTAGTGAATAGTAGAATCTGGGATAGAGGATCTCTCTGTCCCCATATAGTGCATCTGTAAAAAGCCAGACATCTTGGTCAGTAGCTAAACAAACAATATTTGTTAATTTGGTAAAGATGCAAACTGCATGGAGTCATAAACAATTGGTTGATAAATGCAGGATGTCAGAGAGGAACTTTCCAACCTATTAGAAGCTGACGCAGAATAATTAGAACTCTATTTACCACTACTGTCAAACGTGAGCAGAATAAGAATTTACAGGTTTGAGATTTAAGAAAGTAACACAGGACAAACTAGGAGCTTAAGGTACAGTACCAATATCTGCATAAAACCCCATATTTCATTTTGCCAATGTAATGATATCAATCTGTTGACAAAGTTATGCTAATACTAGGAGGTCGCTGTTGATTAGGTTGTTTGCTTAATGCTGGGAGGTCTGTTCTTTCTGTTCCATAGATAAGTTTCTCCTCCTGGAGACTGCAAGCTGAGAACCTGTTTGCCTCTGTACCAGATACACCTCCACGATTATTCACAACTGTGACACCACTGACCTGTTCAAAGGATTTACTAAACACAGTCGTGGTAGTTCTGGCCAAACTATGGCTACCAGGTTTAGGCAGGGACTGGCTTGTTGTCAGCGTCAGTCTCTTCAAAGAGACAAGCTCTAGGTTCTCACTCAGGGCTCTCTGAGTTTGCTTTCGTGACAAGTGTTCTCTACAGGTTTCTCCTTCTTTTTCTCTTCCTGCAGCTTTGCTTCCTCCAGATCTTCGTTGGCTCTTCCCTAAAAGGTTCTTACTGCTCGTGTTGCTGCTATTAGATAAAGCAGGCTGACTTGTGCTAGAAGCAGCCCTAGAGTAAAACCCTTCATCAGTTTCAGATACTTCTATCAGTTCTTCTTCAATTCCTAAGTCTGTATTTCCTGTGTGGTAGAAAAAAGAAAAAAATAATTAACATTTGCCTTTCTCACATCTCACATTGACTTTATGCATTACTAGACCTTGATATTTACAAGCATGAAGCCATAAAGCAACAGCACAGAGAATAGAAGACCAAAACTTACCTATTACATTTTGTAATCAAGAATCATTAGGATATAAAATGCCAGCAAATAATGCTGCATTAACCAAATCAAAAAGCATGCCTAAAATTTCATTTTGTAGTGATTTTGATTTAAAAAAAAAAAAATGCAGCATTGTTAATTCATGCAGATTAGAAATAGATTAGAAGATACCACACAAAAGTGCAAATCTCATTTTGAGCAAGTGCTCCAATACAAGTTTTTGCAAAGCTCAGTAATTATAAATGATCTGTGATCAACGGCCCAGAAAACCCAGCATGGCAGCTGTTCATTCAGCAACCCAAGAGTGCATTATTACTGAAAGGTCACCTTCTGCACTATAGGCCTCATGGCATGAGTTGGAAACTCATGCACAATGGAACATGAAACCTCCAGTATACCACAAGTGGAATTTGGAATATTTTAGGTATACAGGGAGACAATTTTCACTTCCTTTTTGATCAATTCTTCATAATGTTCATCGCTGGATTTTGTAAATCCAAGAAATATGTTTAGGAAATTCAAGGAAATGTTGAGTCTCACAGCGTACAGTTTCCAGATCAAAAATATCTGCTTGTAAGTATGTTGTCATTGTCCATGGCACAGACAGAGCTGTGTGCAATACATGCATTTGTGTTATTACACATGCAATATATTAACTGCATACTTCAGTTCTTCAAACATGCAGCAGTGATCCTTTCAATCAGTGGTACCTTAGAGTGCAGCTACAAGTGCTAAAACTGCACTCTGCCAGATGAGTTTATTCCATCCTCCATCATTTTTCTTACAGATTTTTGCCTCCTGATTTCTGGCATGCATTTGCTGTCAGTTCTAGGGTCTGTAGCTGTTTCCTGTACTCCCTGTATATGCTGAGCATCATTCTCTGCTAGTGCTCTGCTCTTTTCCCCATTCCCGGTTTTCTCTCCAGACACATTTGTGACACTAATTTCAGGTATGACAAAGTTGCCCATTTCAGTAGCATCATTACCATTCTCTGCTTGTTCTAGAATTAAAGATGGATAAGGAAAAAAAAAGACAAAAATGATGCCTGAAACAAAACATGGAACAAAAAACAACAGAAACAGATGATTAAAGCATTATGAATTAAAGCAGATGTTCACACATTGACCTCTTGTTAATCAGCAGTATTAGTGAGTATGAAGTTCTCTTAAATAGTGTGAGTCTACCTTCCAATGATCATCCTTCACCCACATACTGGGAAGTCCCACATTCAACATTTCAGTTTTGAAACACTATTTTATCTGGAGGAGACCCTCCCCCAGCTCCCACCCTGAGGATCCCTGTGCAGGCAACAGTGCATTCCCAGGCAGCATGCTGCAGCCCTTGGCTCTCTGCTAACGCCACTGCTGTCTGCACTCATCACAGAAGAGAAGTCAGTCCCAGACAAAGAAAGATACTCTGACAGGGATGGACATCACCATCCCTCAGTTAAGAAGCTATCCCTGCTTTTACCTGTCATCATTTGTTAACATGATTCTTTCTAACTGACTAGTCAGCTACTTGTGGAAGTGTCAATTTAACAAGTTGCACTAGTCAATGGAAATGGAATTAATAGCTGCTGTCATTAGCTACTAATTTTCTAATATTTGTCAAGAAACGAATTAAAAGTTGCAATTATTCTTCCTTCTAAGAGGTCATCCCTTCCACAGAGTTCTTTTATCAGTAACACAGTAACAGTTGCAACTGAGCACTGTGAACTGCAGCTATATTAGAATACCATTATACACAGCACTTTTTCTAGAGACACATGAGCAGAAAATTAAGTGAGGAAACCACCACTCTTTGGCTCCAATGGTCTCATTACACAGGGCTGGGGTAGCTGTGCCTCTCCTACAGCAAATCTCCAAACCGGTTCCCTCTTCCCCTGTCAGTGCCACTGGAGGCATCTTACTCCAGCAGAGCTACTTCCCAGGATCCACTGAACTCCACGTGCACAAGTCTACTCTGGAAACTTCATTTACAGCTGGGAAACCAGGCTGAGGAGAGGGCAGAACAGAGCCTGCAGTCAGTCCCTTCTCCACTACGAGCAGAAAAGCATTAACAAACAGCTGCTCTAGAGAAAGGAGATTCAGAATGCACCAAGTCCACAGCATAGCAGAGACTGGAAGAAAAGAGGAAGAACTTTCTACATCACACATTGGGTGATAATAGCAATAATTAATTATTGTGGTTTAGTGATGTGCATCTCTAAATGCAATTGTGTCCTATTGTGTATCAACACTCCCCATCGCTGCTGCATTCCCACTGCTGTCACCACTACAGTAAGGAACTGAAAAAAATAGGTCTTAACATAAAACTGGCAAAACTAGTCTTATAGACAAAACTGAACAGTTACACTGATTTGAAAGCTAACAGATATATGCTGTAGCATTTGTAGGAAAATGCATTTGAGTTATGCTTTCTGAAGGTTTGAATAGTACAACCAACCTTAACATTTGCATTTCACAATTACCAGCTGCTAAGGACTAATAAAAATGATTTCAACTATTGTCCACCTCACTGCTACAATTGCCTTTATCATTGACCTCTTGTATAAGTAAACTGCCCACATGGAATGCAACTCAGTTTTAACCATCACAGGCTCAAGCTGCATTTCCTACATAATAACATCAGCACCTTGAATTATTCACAGGAGTATCAAGCTCCTTTCTCCCAGTATTCATTCCAGAACCCCCTCCCCAAAAAAAGCTGTCATTATTTCAGGTAATACTGTTTCAAAATAAATAAAATAAAGGGAAATTCTCTCCACAGAGATTCAAAGACTGACGTTTCTCCTATGCCTTGTGCACAATCTAGAAGTCAATTCTTGCAGTGAGAAAAATTATTCTTTATTCTCTAGTCAACATCTTTAGTTTTGTTACGTACCCTACTGTCACCTGCTCAGCTCCACTTACTCAGTCTGTCCCATCACAGCATGCCTTACATGCACACAAGTTTTTCCAACAGCTCTTTGTGGGGAAGTTGGAGAGATCTCAAATTTAGATCACTACGAAAAGCATTGCTAGCCTCATCATTCTTTCTGTACACCTACCCTGAAGATCTATTCCACATCATTCATAGGGGATTGTGGGACACTGAATTTTATGAGGAATTGGAGACATTTCATTCTGATTTTAAAGGCTTCTGTTCCAGTCATAAACAACAGGGTTTTTTGTCCTGTTTTAGAATTTTCTGATGAGGTTTTGGAGTAGCCTAGCTCAAGTGCTACGTACTTGAAACACTTGCCATGTAAACCAAAAAGATTTTGCTGATCAGTCAGAAATACAGTCCTTCTTTACATCCTGTACCACTAGACCAATACAAAGCTTTTTCAATAACCCAAATAGAATGATGACAAGAGTTCGTTAGTGGAAGGTCCTCGGTGTTCCTTGATCTTCAGTCCTCGACCTAAATACTCACTACTTCTCACTTCTGTCATACTAACTAGATTATCACTGTTTATCTTTTCCTGCTCTCTTCACCCAATTTCTACAAATCCTACTTATATTCTTATTTCCCTTCCACCTTACTGCTATCGCTTACAGTGAACACCTGTCCCACCATTGGTTCTTGACTTTCTCTCAGTATTGGCCCTCCAAGAAGAAATAGTTGTAAAAACTTTCACATTCTTGTATTTGCTGAAAAAAATTGGATTCCCATTAGGATAATTTTATATTTCATTTTCTTCTGTAAATGCAAGAGCAAAGGAAACTTTGTTTTAATACTTCCAATTCCTCTGAATGAATATAAACACTCAGTGTCCCTGATCTGCATTCCCATTTACCGCTTGAAAATGATAGCAAAACTGCCAAGCTTTAGAGGACATGTCTGCATTTAGAAGCCATTATTATACAGTATCCTGACACCAGGTCAATATTTCCTCCTCCTTTTAAGCAGGAAGAAAGGAAAATAAACAATAAAGGCTAAAACGTTCCTTAGCAGTCTTGAAATCTCAGAAATGACTTACACTCTTACTACTGAACCACACTCATATCAAAGACACTAATGTTCTGCTCCTCGTCTTCGCCTACCTGTTAAAGTTAACAAATCAAGCATTTTATTGAAATGAAAAGAACTTTAACTATTTTAACTTCCTTTGCCCTTCCTCGCCTTCAAAAGCTTACTACTGGAACTCACACCAGCATGTATCATCACTGTTCAGAAATCTTTCTTGTTATTTTTAAGCCCTCTTTTATCAGAATATTTATAATCTTCAACAGCTACCTGAAATATCCCCGTGTGGTGCATTGTTGTTTTTGTTTGTTTGTTTTTTTAACACAGATCTATGCAATAATTTTTTGAACTGAACCTTTATATAATCAAAGAATATTAGGCTGTTACAATCACAAAATAAACAAGAGAGTTAAGGCGAAGTAGACTCTGATAACAAAGAGAATAAATGGAAGGCTTACCCTTATGTTGGACTCACCACAAAACACCAGAAGGAGGGATCTCCAGAAGAGATCCATCCCCCCTGGCAGTCAGCTCTTAAATGGGTCTAGGAGAGGTGCAGCCTGGCTCCACCCCTTCCAGCAGCACAGTGAATTGCCTTCACCTGTGCTCCCAGGGCTGACTCATGGCTCGCCCCAGGTGATCAATCAGAGGTTCAGGCCATGACTCAGCAGTTCCCATACAACTTTATATATACTACAAAAGAGTTCTTATAGCACACATCATATAGAAATCATCATGATACTGTTTTAAAGTCTTTATTTAGCCTATTAAAAGAACACTTATCTACACTGACTTCTCCCTTTCATCAGAATTACAAACACAGCACAGCAAGCCACTGGAAGTTTTGATCTCTGGTTCAGCAGCTCTTCCCCCACCTGAATCTGGTAGAAAAAGTGGAATACATTGATTGTCCTTTTGCAGTATATTCAGCACCATTTTTTTCTACTCCTCAGCATTGACCTGTGCTTCACTTTGTTGAAGCCCTTACGCTACTTCACCTCAAAAGTAATAATTTACCCCCTCTAGCCTTAAATATTGTTTTTATTTAGATAACTTAAAACAAATGAGGCACTGTAGCATATTTATTAAACATTTACTTTGCTTCAGGTATCATACACTACTTTTCAGAAGAGAACAGGAACGTAAGTCTCTTGAAAGAATCAAAAACGTTGTACAGCAGCATTTAACAAAAAGGTGTTCCATTAAAAGAAAAAAAACAGGATTGAGGAAATAGAGAATATACTTTCTGATCCACTAAGTTTCTCATTTACCAGTTATCTAACTATCAGCCACTCGATTACCATCATCAGCAGAATAGCACCCATGTCCAACTGTGACATGTTTCATCTAGTATATAGCGTCTTCACACTGTTCCAGACCCAAATTAATAATGTAAGTTTAAGCGAAATTATATAATTTTAAGAATAAAAGCACAGTGTCAGTTCACTAAGGGCATTCTCATTAGCAATGACAATGCATAAAGACAAAACCCTCAATATTATTTTAAACAGCTGTAAGAAGCTAAGAAACCATTGTAAATTGTGCCTCTTACCGTGTCTTTTCCATCTGTGCCCTCGGATGGACATGCTAGTCACAGCATTTCTTGATATCCTGGATGAAGTAGGTGTAATTTCAACCTGAATGCATTTTGTACCTTCTTTACTAGACTTCATGGCACCCTGAGGCAGTGAAGCTTTTATTGCATTAGCAACCTAGAGCAAGGAAAAATGCAGTTTAGGCTTGTATCAGGAATGGTGTGGTGAGCAGGACTAGGGAAGTCATCCTGGCCCTGTACTCGGCATTGGTGAGGCCTCACCTCGAGTACTGTGTTCAGTTTTGGGCAACTCAGTACAGAAAGGACATTGAGGTGCTGGAGCAGGTCCAAAGAAGAGCAACAAGGCTTGTGAAGGGCTTGGAGAATGTGCCCTGCAAGGAGAGACTGAAGGAACTGGGGCTGTTCAGTCTGGGGAAGAGGAGGCTGAGGGGAGACCTCACTGTTTTCTTCCAATATCTGAAAAGGTGCTGGTCTCTTCTCATAGGTGACAGGACAAGATGAAATGGCCACAAGTTGTGTCAGGGGAGATTTAGGCTGGATATCAGGAAAAAACTTCTTTACAGAAAGGGTTGTTCAGCACTGGAATAGGCTCCCCAGGGAGGTGGTTGAGACATCATCCCTGGATGTGTTTAAAAACCGTTTGGATGTGGTGCTCAGGGACATGATTTAGCAGAAGGTTGTTAGAGTTAGGGTAGCATTGTTACAGTGCGGTTGGACTTTATTATCTTTAAGGTATTTTCCAACTTGAGCTGTTCTATGATCTATGAAGTTTTTAAACATGAAGGTTGAAATTTTAGAAAATAATTATATCCCTACTAGGGATCCCTAGCAGTTCATAAAGATTCAGAATTAGATGATCTTGCAATCCAAGCCATTCTATGATTCTAAGCCATTCTATAAATTTCCTTCTTGCCTTTTAAGCGAGAGGATTTTTTACACACAATACGTATGTTCATAGAATCATAGAATCACAAGGTTGGACACGACCTGTAGGATCATCTAGTCCAACTGCCTTCTCATTACCACTGCTACCACAAACTAAACCACATCTCGTAGCTCCTCATCCAGGTGCCTCTTGAACACTGCCAGGGACGGCGACTCCACCTCCTCCCTGGGCAGGTTATTGCATACAACTCCAATTTATGTCAAATAAGCACACTAGCATTTTGCACAAGTCATAAAGAATGCGCGGTGCAATTAGCTTTTAGAATTAATTTGTATTTAAGATCTGTCACTATTTAAAGCAGAGTCTTCAGTTTAATGACTATATGACTACTACTTAACATTAACTCCAGAGTGCTTCTGCACTATCATTACACTTTCAAGTCTTAGAAGTGTTCTACTGTAAACCACTTATTCACTTGGGAAGATGATAAAATAACTAAGTACACTGAAAATGTGTGTATATATCCTTATAGATCTAGCTACTCAAACAAGCAAGACACATAGGCCTCATGAGATTCAGGTTCCTCACATGATGTTCACAGAAAGTATTTACTGAATTAAAAACTACTTAAAAAATGTTGGACTTCATCACCTACCAGCAGAGGTTCTGGATACAGTTCCAGCTGTGCTCTATACAAAATGTCATCCATAGCTTTACGAGCCAGATCCCATTCTCCATTATAACTGCAAAGTTAAACATATACTTAATAGTAAGCACCTGTATCAATGGATGAACCTTCCTGGTCATGACTTTCAAGAAATTAGTGTCCCTTGGGAGCTCAACTGAGAGTTAATCTACTTGTGCTTATTATCAGTAAGCCTGCTACTTTAAAATGTTGTTCTGAATTAGTGCATATGGAGGCACTAGTTTTATTTTTTATTGACCTCTCTGAGCAGCTTAAAAGTAATATTGCTAGTTATTGATCAGCTAGTAATGAAATATTCTGAAATTCCAATAGGATGGTCTTAATATTAAGCCACCTTTTGAATATCCCTATGTTACTAGCCTCTGACTATTTCAGTTAATGAAAGAGCTTTACATATCAACACGACTATCAAAGGGTGGATGACATTCAACATTTTAGAGAAAGAATGCTAAGACGTTTTGCCTTAACTAGATTGATGTCAAAAACGTGGACAGCAGACAAAAGTTGGAAAAGGTTTTTTCAGGTATTTTTTCACACCACCAGTTATAACTGTTAAGTGTTATTCTAGCCTTCATTCCTCAGTATCACACCGGTTATGTCATCTAACAAGTTGGTGAGCTGTGTTCTAATCCTGAAGTCTTTATTGCTACACCCAGCACATGTCCATTAGAAAATAAAACACCTCAAAAGTAGCATGCCTAAATGAACATATAAGTTAAGCTAGTGCTCCTTTGTCTTGTGTGAATAATAAAGAAAAAAAACACCTCTCACTTACAAGGCATAATAAATCCCTGTTAGCATTTGCACCATGAATTCAGATGAAACTGGAATCCTGCTGTTTACTCCCTTATACTTCCTCACTTGTTGGCGAGGATATCCGCAGACACAGATTCTAAAGAAATAAGGCATTTGTCACTAGTAAATAATGAAGAACCACCTTTGTATAGAACACCACTAAAATAGATGTTTGGTGTGTGTTTTAACAACAGTAGACCCAAGGACATTTTTGTATGTTGTTCATCAACTGAGAGCTAGAGCAGATCATTTCTCAGTATGGAAGAAGGGAATGCCCTCTACTGGCAGTGTTCAAATCCTTCAAAATAGAGATACCCTTGATGGCAATGCTTATACCACAGTTGAACACTGAAAACTACCATTAAAGTCATTCTCAATTAAAAGCATTTTCAGTAGGGTAGACAAAAAATATTAATGGTATTTGAGGAAATGAAACAGAAAAAAAAAAGTATGAAAATAGCACACAAATTTCAAGCAAAAAGACTAGAAGAATCACATTTAAAAAAACCATTCTAAATTCCAGTAGAAGTCAGCAATTGAATTTAATTCTGATCCAAATTCCACATCAAATTTTGTAGTCAAAAGATTCAGGAAATCAAAGATATTGTGTAGTTAAATATTTAACTTATTAACTGTTACTTCCAGACTTAAGGAATGACTTCTGTGACATTAATAAAAGAATTTCCTTCTTCATAGCACAGAAAGCATCCATTTCAAAAAGCTTCAACCCTTCAGCTTCATTACTACCAGAGAGCTCCTAAAACACTACTTTAAAACTCATTTATGGCCCCCAGCAAAAAACAGATTAAGGTTGTATTGCTTCTTAACGTTCAAATTACAGCTGTAACAGAGCTTTCAGGACCCCTTTTTTTTTTTTTTAAATGAATAACAACTTTGCCACTAACTTACTATGCTTTTTTTCTTCTCTATTCTGCAATGCATCTTCTGCTAAGACTAATTCAAAACAGAACAAAACAAGAAGAAACAAGCACCCATTACTCATTTGTTTTTCTGGATTTTTCTGTTTGTTTACTTGTATGAGGAATCTAGAACCTCAGAGCTACTAGTGGCAAACAGCTGCTCTGGGTCTCCTTGGTTGCCTGGGTTAACAAGAATGCTCAAACTTCCTTGATTCAATGTCAACTTCCAAAATTCCAGAGAGACAAGTTCACTAGCAGTTCTTTCTCTTTAAAAAGAAAGAGATAAAAAAGGATGAATGCCTCAGCTTTGTCTTTTTAGTTGCTGTTATACCAGATTTAGGGAATATCCAAAACATCCGTAGGAACGAGCATATTTCTAGCTTTAGTAACTACTATATTTTCAATTAAGTTTCAACTTGTACAGCACTGAAATGTTCAGTAAGCATGCAGTGCAAAGTTAACCAAGATCTTAGAAAACATTTCTGAATTACTTGGATAAAACACCTAGTACTACTTCAATAAAAACATAATTCCTTAGATTTGACTTCTTCCTCCAGTTTACAGCACTGCTTATAAACCAGGTCATTGCTTCTCCAATTCTGAGATCTCAGTCTACAGCCAATTAAGAGATACTTTAAGATAAGTAATGCAGCTATACTTTTTTTTTTTTTTTAATCAAGTTTACAAGCAAACTTTGGGAATGAAAGGACTTTTTTCATTATTGTTTGCTAAGTTCAAACAAATTGCATTTCAACTTGATAACATTTTAAGTATAATCAGCCTACAGAAGTTACCTTGAGCAAATTTGACACAATGACTGAAGAGAAATTGCAGGCATGTAGCTTAAGGCAGCATTGTAGCAGAGCAGAAGGAAAGTCAACACTTCAAACCTGGAGTTTACAGAAAACAACAGGTTATATTACCAATTTTACGTTGTTTTTTTTTTTTTTTTAAACAAGTAAAACTGTTTTACAGAGAAATTTGCAAGGGTTATTTGAACAAACTTGGTCTAATTCAATAAAATTACTGATCAATGACTTGGGACTACAAGCCTTCCCTTTTCCTATGCATCCTGCATCTAAATTTAACACACACAGAAAAACAAATGAAAGAAAAACCAGCACACACTCATTCATCTTCTGTCTATAGTTATTAAAAATTCTTAGAAGATTCTTAAATGATTATGAAGATAAATCCTATTATACAATTTCACCTGTTCTGCGCTGTCAGCATCTCCCTCTGAGGATGAGGTCCACTGTACACCACCCTGGACAAACCATGCTGGGATAAAGCTCCTTCAGTAAGAGCCATGGAGCCAATACTGGAAGGCTGTAGGGGGAAAAAAGAAAAAAAAAAAATTAAAACACATCCAACCTGAAGTCTTGCTACAATGCAAGTAAAAACAGACAAGAGATCAGTATCATCATATTTCTACATCAATTTTATCTGAACACCTATATACCTTAGACTTAAGAAATCACTTCTCAGCAGGTAAAATATAAGGTTTCAGAACAGGAAGAAATACAGTTGGTACATGCATATCACTCAGTTATGACTACTGAGTCTTCAAAAGGCTCCAAAGAGCAGTTAGCAGCAATGAGTAGACTGAGAAACGTGTTACTAGGTCATGCAAAATGCAAAGACTAATTTTCACTTTCTTTCTTCACTCACAGGCCCAAAATCACACTGCTTTTCACAATCAGTGACAACTTCATGCTGTAAGTGCCACTTACTTCATGATATACTGAAGGTTTGGACAAAGATGGAATAGTGAAACTCAGCACTTTGCTGTGTCCCTCTTTGTCAACTATCTCCTGAAAAAGGCAGAAGACAACAAGACACCAAGGGTTATATTGTTCTACAGAAACCAGACAGAAGATACCTTCCTGCAGTATATCACTGGAGTGGAACATTGGCAGGCCTCTCACATCTGTAAGTTAGCAGAAAGCTAATGAGATAGGCAAACAAACAACAAAATAGGGACCACACATCACAGAAGAACACTGAAGTACTCTGGATCAAAACCTTCAGCAACAACTTCTGAAGCAGACCTAACCAAAACCACACTGCCTTTAATTTTAAATTTCAGCAGCAAATTTCACTTATCCAAAGGCAGAGATTAGAAAGGAGTTTCAGTAAAGCATCTCCTAGCACAGACTAATTGCATTTTGCCTGTAACAGCTAAAACACGATGCTTTTCAAGGTTCCCTCAGAATTCTGTTTTTCAAAGGATTAATTTAACAGCAAACAGTATATTTTCATGCAAAATATACAAGAAAGTCAAGGATATTACAAAACGAAAGACTTTTATTTTCTCAAGAGTGAGCAATCTGTTCAACCATCAAGTACTAAGAATTTGTTGAAAGTGCCTTTATGCATGATCTCTAGTCAACGTGGTCAGAATACCACAGAAAGCACAGGCAACAACTTCAAATGTAGCACCCACAAAGGCTCTCCAGCAAAACGCAAATTTAATTGCCATACCAAGAATTAATGAAAGCAAGAACTGAAGAGCAACCCTTTTCAAGTTCACATTACAGATTTCCAACTTGAACATAAATTTAAAGAGAGAAAAGTACGACACTCAATCACTTGTTTTCAGTTCTGAAATAAGAGAGCTTATCCCTTCTCCATAAACACTTTGCAGTATCCCCTTAAAAGGGCACTAATATTTTTAGGCCTGAATAATTAGGTGTAAATACAAACCAAGTTATACACTCCTAGAAGAAGGGCTTCTATACATCCACTGCTCTGCAAATCTCTGCTGGCTGAGACAGCAAGGTAGCACCACATCAGTTCAGGCAGAAACTGCAGTGTGAATCGTAGTAATTGCTCCTCACCACTGCGATAGAACTCAAAGAGCTGATGGCAGACTGGCTCCAGAAGCTGCAATTACAACGAGGTTACTGTTAACGAGTAAAAAAATTACAAGAAACCACAACTTTGTGTAGAAGCATAACCACTCAGTAGGGGAAAAGCTAATAGATGTTCCATTGTAGCTACCTGAGTGATCAGCCTGCTAACTACCAGGTCACCTTGCACAATTTCAGTCTTCTACACTTTAGATGATACAAGTGGAGTCTTCCACCACAACAGAAATACTTCCATTTCTGTTGGAAGTAACAGCTCCATCCCCTCCTTTTTTAGCTCATTTGCTCTAGCCTCACCAGCTTAAGTTAGTAGAGGATGCTTACTATCACTGCATCTCATACCATGACCTCAATACATCATCTACACGGAAAAAACAACAGCCCAAAAGGCCTTGTTGTTCTAGAGCTCCAACAACCAACACACAAAAGTCTAAAGATTTTACTCTGTAACTGAGAAGAGCTACAGGACACTTGTACTCAAAGTGCCGCAACAACTTAGTGTACTGTAGATAAACTAAATCCTTCCATTCATCCAGAAGCTTCAATGTATTCATAGGAGTTAAGGCCAAAAATAAAAAATAATAATAATAAAAAAAAAGCTGCTAAAGGTCAATATACAGTGTTAACTATGTGTCACTACATGGGGGTAAAGACTGTCCACAACAGCAGATACTTTCAAAGTGAGCAGAACAGGATGCTGAGGCCTCAGTCAATATAAAAATGAAAAAATCCAAAATGCTTTTTGATGGCAAACATGGCAACTTGCTCATAAGAATTTGCAACTCTTAGAGGATTTGTTCTTTATGTTCCTTAAAATGCCCCTAAAAAATGGAATTGGGTTAAAAAAAAAAAAAAAAAGATGTTTAACTAAACATTGTAAATCAAGTGTTTTTAAGCAGTAACAAATAGCAGAAACTACTCCTTTAAAAGAATCTAGGTAGTAGTTGCACTTGTACTTGCAAATTTTACAAACTGAAATCTGAGATTCCAGCTTTTTAGAATTCAATTTCTCAACCTCAGCTAGTATATTAAAAATCATTACACAAAATGTGACATTCTCCAACTGCAAATCTCAAAAGACTGGATTTAAATGCAACACATCTGAAGGATTAGTTTTATTGCTTTGTTTCTTACCTCGGAGGCTTAATATCTCTCAATGGTTCATTTATATGACTCACAGAAACAGACTCTAAATTAATTTAAATACCAGGAATGTTAAGGTTAGTAATAGATTGAAATGTGTTCCTACACAAAAATCCCCAGAAGCTTCAACCTGAAAGTGACAGAATGAAAACCAAACAGGCTAGTCTCTAAAATGCATATCTAAGACACTGTAATCATGAGAATTGCCACTGCACTTCAGAAAGGAAGGTACTATCCAGCATCTTCCTGAAAATTCTTAAAGACTGTGATACATGTACAGACATGTACAGATATGAAGTACAGACATGTACTTTCTTATCAGTAACATGCAGATCATGTTTGCCATTCATTTTGGCTCAGAAAACTGTGAAAACCTAAGGCAAAAAAGCATACCAAGCTCAACTAGTATCTTCCCAGAGATGATTAGCAAAGATCCTTCTAGAAGGCTTTACCAGCACAAGTGCTTTCCATCTTCAGCTTACATATTTCACAAAATTTGCATGCTTCCTTTAATGAAGTATCAGTTCTGAATGATGTGCTTGAACACATCATTGTGTTGAAGGCACAGAAATAGCTCTGACAGGTATCCACGTTCATATCGTTATCTCAGTTGAGACAGCTTTGTATCAGCATGTTTCAATGCGTAATCAGTACAAAAACAGATATTCTTCCTTGAAATGCCACCACATGCTAAAACCTAATATCAAAACACATGAGTTGTTGCTGTTCCAAGATAATGTTTTCACACTAAACCAGTTCTAAAAAGCATGAAAACTTCTAGCGCTGGAACAGAAGAACATTGAAGTAATTTCATCCCTCCTCCTTTGAAGTTGCGTCCAGACACGTTGGACATTTCAATTCACAATTTCTAATACTTACATTTCCTAATGCAAATACCTGAATGGCTGCTATCTGAAAGGACAGCAGTACAGCTTTAGGTACACAATAAACAATCTCAAATTCGTTAAGAAACAAAACCTTCCAGAAAAAAAGCTTGCCAGTGAATTTCTTGAGTGTCTGCTCAGTTGAAAGTCCTTTAAATCTTCACATCCATTGAAGACTCTTCTACTGAATTATATTTTCCATACCAGTGGGCCAGGAACTTCAAAATAACCAATAAAGCCTTTGCTAACAAAGCTACTATGAAACTGCTGTTTCTCAGTATAGCAAACACAGGTAGTTCATTTCTCTCACCAAATGCTACATTTTCAGAAATGCAAACAAGGTATATGAAAAGCAAATATACAATGCAGGTAATACATCTCAAAAACAGAAAGAAGTTGCTTGCTTTTTTAAATTGCTGGTTTAGAAGTATTTCCTCTATGTGGAAAGCTCCAGGTACCCCATTCCACAGTTTCAGGCAGTAAGGATAAATAGCACAGATTAAAATTTTAGGAGAACTGTCAGCATTGGCAGTTTAATGTCAAGATTCAGTTAACGGGAATCTTCAATACTTAGCCCCTCCCAAAATTCTTTTTTTTTTTTTGGGCATTTTTTTAAAATCTTTTTTTTCATGGCTTAGAAACCATCCTGCAAAAGTCCGTGACAAAACTAGTGATAGCCATCAGTAGTAATAAAATTACAGAACATGAAAGTATCAGTTTGGCTATCAACAGGGAGACTCATCGCTATAATTTACACATTGATGTGCATTCTGAAGACCAGGCAAGCTTGACTCAGTATTTGGAATGACTCAGAATGCCTTCCTGAGCAGCACAGAAAAGTGAAATGACATTTCTTCTCCGCTGTACAACCTGTATTTCTGTACCAGCATCCTCTCTAAAAATGTATGAACACTGGAAGCATTTTACCCTCTGCCCACCATTGGCATTATCTCAACTTTGGAGAGGCTCCTTATGCTGCACCTTTTCCAGAAGAGGCATGAGGACTCCATGTAGTTTAAAAAATAATAATACACAAAGGTGTGCTGGGTGGTAGAGAGTGCGACCAGGATACAACTAACACCAGTTCGGGATGCTCTGTTCTCACCTAGACATTTCAAGAGAAGCACAGTCATAGTGCATGAGCCATTCTTTACGTGGGCACAGTGCAAACCTGCCCCATGCCACCTCAGAATTTCTAAGGAAGTGACAGATCAGTGCTGAAGTGATGGAAGAAAGGCATAAAGACCTAAATCCAAAGCACTAATATGAAAGGAATGCAAAACTACCTAACATTTATCTCTTGTCATATAAACAGGCAAGCTTCTGGTAGCTACGGATTCACATTCAAGTTATGGTGAATCACAAAAATAATTCAGTCAAACATCTTTTCAATTCCTTAACATATTTCTCATTTCCATACACAGATCCTGATTATGATCTACAAGATCAGTCACAATCAGCAAATAAGAAACAAATCTACAGATAGTTTCCATAGTACTATATTCTTGCGAAGAAAACTTTCCAATAAAATTAAAAGGAAAACACTGTGATGAAGACTCTTCATGTAGTTCACGTAATTAGAAACAGAATTAACTATTACACAGCATGCAAGGTTTTACTCTATTCTGCTGGTGTTACATCAGACATTACCAGAGATACACCACACTCACTTCACTTTGTGGCTCCTGAATTACTCTGTAAAGAGATGAAATCAGAGCACTCTTGTCTTTCAGGTTTGTAGCATAGCTGGATATGGATGCCTCTGGCAGCGTCTGAAAAATATATAGAATATATTTATTGTAGTTACTAGAAAAAATAAGGTTTAATGATTAAAGTGTAGCAGCTATTTCAACAACTATTTTCCTTAGAAGTTACTATTTATCAGAGTTTACAGTGAACTAAAACTTGTTTCATAAAGAAATCCTTGCTATAGAAATCATCATTTTTCACAGCAGCAAAGTTGCCAGAAGACACACAGCGCTATCATTTGGCAGAGAGCTTCTTTAAGAGATCAATGACATTCAATGGGAAATCATTAAAAAAAAAAAAAAAAAGGGGTGAGTTTCAGAAGTGCAGTGCCACTGAAAATACATCATGTTCTGAAACCAGAAAAAAATGGCAATGCACTTCCCACTCTTTGCTGGTGTCAGTGACAACACGTGCCCACTGTGAAATTTAAATACTGTGAAAGCTTGCTGCTTGCAGACCTGCACTTTACTGTCAAGACTGACAGTACACAGACTGTAAATATTATTACAGGACACATTATTACCTGAAAGAACATAAACTCAGGTTGACAAGAACAGCTATCCTTTAATATAAATGGGTTTCCTTACAGTACTTAAGAGGTTAAAAAGCTAATCTCTTTGACAATCCTTCGGAAGCTACACATCTAAACTTATTATTCATAGCTCCTACAGTACTACCTTTCTGCAGCCCTACAAAGGAAATCATATCCCATTATAAAGACAGGAAAACAGATATCTAGCTGGACCAGGACAAAAATCTGTACTCACATAAGTCCCAGCCCATACTCAGAACAGCAAGATCACACCACACTGTCAATATCGGGAGGAGAAACAAAAAATAGAACAAAAAGCCAGTACCAAAGTTTGAAAAGAAATCCAGCAGAACTTCACAAATGCCAGCTAGCAGTTTCTGGGGTTTAGCCTGTGTGTGTGCATCCAATTTTCAATTTCTGTTGTAAAAATTTTCCAGTTATTCAGCAGCAAGATTACTGAACACCATGCTGAGGACTCCCAAGACATTTCAACAATAGCAAGAGCCATCCAAGGAGTTACTCAAGACAGTCTAACACAAAGAAATTAGGCTGATCTAGAATCCACTTGGGTCCAAAATGGAGGTATGCTGCATTTTCTTCTAGTCACAGCATTCTTAAAAGTCTTTAATTTCAGCATCTTACAGATACACATACAGCATGTGAATCTTCCAGTCAGGGTGTTTCAAGAACACAGTTTGACCATGATTACAAGATATGGTTTAGTAAACTAGGGTTATAATCCTAAACTTTTCTTTCTAGCGATTAAGCTTGCAAAAGTATTGTGCTTTGTTACAAAGCATACATAACAGAGACATGTTCCACTTTTTGGTTGTTAGCAGACCAGAGAGTGCAACTTAATAAAAGGGAGCTGTATGATTCATCCCTCTCTGAAGGTAGGGACCATTAGCTGTGCCACAAAATTCCTATCAACAGAAACAGAATAGAAAACACTGAATCATAATATTGTAAGAAAGATGCTACTTCCACTTGCTCCTTACTTCTTTCAAGTTACATAAACAACATTTACACACCGATAAAGTGCTGGGCAAGCTTAGCAAACTTGTTCTGAAGTAACAGAAAATCTTGGCTTCATAACATAAGATACAGACAAGCTAGTTTTAAGGAAGCCAATATTTCTATCTGCTGTTGCATTTGCCAGATAAAGGCCTGAAGACATAGAAAAACTGACAATTCTTTACTTCAAAGTTGTCTTTACTGCTGGTAGAGTGAACACTCTGGAAATAAAAAAATAAAAATAAATGTGGCTTTACGTGTTAAACCCAAACATTTTTTCCTGTGGTAAAGACAGACAGAGATAATGCATGATATCCACTTCCTGCTTTCAGATCTTTCCTTCCATAGCATTTGCCCCTCTCAAAGTCAGAACTGACCTCACATACTGACAGCACAATGACTGAGAAATGCCATCTGCAAGGAACACACCTGGACATCTGACTGTAAATAAGTGCTCTGAAAAAATAAGCAATCAGAACTACAGCACATGACGGAAATTCAGCAAGTTCAACAGGTAAAGTGATCAGCAGCTATCACAGCATCTATCACACAGCACTGAATTTCTAATAATAAAACTTAAAGAAGCTACACCAGCAAGAATGAGCATGAATAACTCACTCATGTAGTCCATAAAAAGGTAAATGAAAGGAAAAGATCGAAAGCCTGAGATTTGGGGTACAACATTACAGCCTGCAGTACATTTTTTGCCATAGGCCACTGAAGATTATTTCCTGGATCAGGAAGTAGGCAATCCCAAAGACGACAATGAAAAGAAGACATCTATCAAGTCGATAGTTGTACACATCAGATTACCTTAGAATCCAAGGTTGCTAATCATCTTCATTTTCTACAAAAGTCACACACTTCTGCATACGACTCCAGCAGCAATTCAGATACCACAGGTTAAGTGTCTGATGGTGTGTTATTATTACCTTGAACTCCGATAACCACTCCTCCACAAGCCCCGTATCCACAGCTAACATCTTCCAACATCAGTTCCAAAACCTTCAGCCTGAAAGAATGTGCAAACAGTCTGTAAGAACTGTGCAATCACTGCATTAAATACATGATTAGATTAAGTTCCTGCGAATATTTAAGGAATCTCATCATGCTTTTACTCATTAACATTTCACATTCTGACACACTTTGAACTTTTATTCCACTTTGCTTTTGCAAGCTGCTGGAAGCATTAAGCATGAGTTGTCAGATACAGCAGTTTAATAAATCCCAAATACATACTGCGTGGGAAGCTCAGCAAGTCAAAGATTTGCAGAAGGGGCATTTTGGAAACAGAAAATATTACCTTCTCAATTTCTATTTATTTTTCAGCTTACAGAAAGAGAGAAAACTATAGGAATTCACTGAATAGGAATTACTGTCCAAGCTTTTTCTAAACAACTGTTTTCTTAACTTGGAGAAGGACGCTAAAAGTATGATGAAAACTTTTCAATCCACCTCTATCACTACAGCTGAAAGACAAGACAACGAGCCTGCAGCCTCAGCATGAAGCCCAAGGTAGAATTCCTTGCCTAATTCCTCAGTCAGAGCACGGACAGCGGTACTCAGATGAATACAAAAGATGCAAAGTGGCTTTTGAAACTCATCCCTTATTTCCCTTAATTTATTTAAAAAAACATCTTACAACAAATGCTCTTTGGAACAGTTTATTCTGAAGCTAAGGGCAGCATTCCATTAAGATAAAAAACTACTAAAAGCATGCTGTGGAGGGTGCCCTAGGCATATCTTCGTTATTCTACATTAACTTACCAAACTGAGATCAGGTATACCAAACAATGACAAATACTCATCTCAGGAGAAAATTAACAGTTACTTGAAGAAACATTCAGACATGGGTGAGATACCTTATCAGACTGTTCCAGTTTAAAATTAAGTTCTGATATCCAAGTATGGGCGTATATGAGAAGTTACAAACAAGGAAAGAGGGGAAGAATTGTCTCATAACATAAATAAATTTCAAGAATTGAAGAATTAAGAAAAGAACCAAGCATGATAATGGTGAGAGCTGTAAGGCCGTAAGGCCTCCAGTAAAGAGGAAGAAAAAGTTGCTTAAAAGAGGTTTCACTTAAAAAGAGAAGTACTGGAATCTTTTAAGGTTTGTAAGAGAATAACTATCCAACATGTACTGCAAAAGCAGTACGACTGGACAGGCTATCTAGAAACTTCTTGCATCACATTCATACAAAACAACAGGATAGCGCAGATAATGCCAAAGGAAAGGGAGAAGGCAAGGAGGGGAACAGACAACCAGCTTAGTCACTAGTTGAAGTCATGAGTCCTTAACAATCTAAAATTCAATAAAGAGGCACAATGAAAATGAGATCCATTTCAAATGACCGTGAGGCGCAGCTATGATCTTTATGAACCCGCATCAGAAAGACCCAGTGCATACCACAAAACCCACTGAGAAGACAGTTCCTTCTTTCTCTCATTCAGAGAAGAAACTCTTCTGGAAGAAAGCATAAGAAAGGTTTGTTTCTGGTTTTGAAACTAGTCAGGTTTGGGTTTTGCTTTCTCTTTTAAGTGACGACTGAAAAACAGTTCACTGTAGTTAGAATACTGACACAGCTAGCACAAGCAAAAAATAAGAACTCACAGTATTACTGGGAAAGAATTTAGCCTAGGAAATCAACAGTCTGGTCAGGGAAAGAAACCTGAGCTCTTACTGAAAACAGCTAGTGCAGGTAGCTGCTCCAGAAAGACAAGAGAGGAAATCACAAAGGAAACACCTAGCTAAATATCAGCTCTTTCTGACCAGCTCTGATGATCTCTGAAGGTGTCATGAAGATATGGATTAGTAGCCTCTAAATCAAATCAGGTTTCTGTGCCAAACCCTGATGCAAAAGTGTAGTTTTCATGATAACATCACTGTGTGCTAACGAACACAAAGGCTAGACCGACTGCAACTCCTGAACCAACAGCCTCATCGTTTCCTACAGTCACATCTGCCAGCCCTACTTTTATTCCTGTGAAGGCAGATAAAGGCTTCTGCAATGCCTTATGTTTCAGCAGGGCTGGCAATAGTAACCATTCTTTACTGAGCCTCATCTATAGCACAAATGCTTACACTAATATTGACTTCTGCATCCAGGATTCCTGGATACTCCAGTTCATGGCTGACACCAAGTTTATGGTTTATTACACATGCAGTATACATTTTTTTCTTTTTTACCCATTTACGTTGATCTATCAAATGTTATTTTCAGACTAAAGACTTCCAGAGAACACAAAATTTATTTGACCAGTGAAAATAATAAGAGCATCTTTGCCTGGCACTATCCACTGGGCTAAAAATGACACTTCAAGACTTAATGACATTGTATTTGAAGGTAAGTCTTCTTGTTGGTGTGTCAGGCACAAGCATAGGCTATAGAAAGCTGAACTAAAAGAAAAAGGAAGCATTTTTGCTGATTGTGTCACAGAAAATGCAGACTGTACTTATTTTATCTTGATGCATTAAAAAAAAGTCACACCCTTCTAAACAAATGTTTTAAACTTAAGCACGCATGCATCTACAGCAATACACTTACAAGTGTCACAGATAAAACCTAATTGTCTACTTGTTTTCCTTGAAGACAAATATTATGATTACTTACTAGGCTGATGTCCCCAGAAGGAAGAAGCACCAATTTCATACAGCAAGTATGAAACTGGTGCAAGTATTTAAACAAGCAGACAACCTGCTGTTTTGCTGAGGATTGCCAAGTTTCACACTAGCTAGATAGACCATGCTGGTCTTCAGCAATGGACAGATTTGGCAAACACGTACTGAGATTGCTCTAAAAGACTAACAAATTTAACAATGCAAGTTTTTCTTAGCACTAGACACATATTTTCTTAGTTTGTGCCACATACAAAGCAAAGCAACTTTAGAAGACTTATTCATTGCAAGTCTTACCACATTACTTCCCACTTGTCACATGATGAAAACAAGCAAAAGCACAGCAGCCCAGATAACATACGGCAGATTTAACTGTTTATGTTAGACCTGCGAGTTGAAAGCATTTTGGAGTACCTTCCACAAGACTTTCACCTGCATTAGCAGCAAAAAATAAGATTCATACTAAATAATAAGTAACAAACAAGCTTGGCTAGTAGAACACTTATTTCAAACAAGCATACGTAAAACCATATAGACTTTACTAATCTCTAACATTAGAACCCTGTGCCACTTGAGCACTAATATCAACAAGAAAAGACTCGAACTCACATTCCATTGAAAGTCTGCAATCCATTTTGACTTAGTTTGGTATGTTCCCAAGCAATAAGCTGAGTAAGAGCAACAAATTGATCTTATTCTGTTCTAATACTGTAAGAAAACTCTCCTTTGATAGGAGATGGCAATTTTTGCTTTGTTTCAGGATAAACAGTGCATCTAGAATAAGATATAAAATAAGCTTACCTGAGAAAAGCCAAGTCTTGTTTGGAAAGGTCTCTACAAATGTCTACGAAGACCCTTTGGTGTCAGGAACTTACTGCTTCAGTAACAGAGGCAGGGAGAAGTTGCTATGCACCAAGCTGGTGGAGGGCAAGCCAAGATCAATGAAAATATATTCTCTGGCAAATCTACAGACAGATTCATCTACTCAAATGACTTCAATTTTCTGTATCAGTCACTCAAAAGTTTTTCTTCACGTTTTAATATCAAATGATGGCCTTAAACGAAATCAGACAACAGACACGCAGGCTGTTCTTAACAAATAAAGAAGAAAATCTCACAATAGATGGCTTTCCTATTTTTTTAAAGCTGCCCAGCCTTTGGAGAATTTATCCACAGGATGTGTGTGCGTGTGTGAATGAACTCTGGATAAAGTACAAGGAGGCTGGACTTGGATGAAGAATGAACACTTGAGTTCAGAAGTGACCTTCTGGAATCACAGTGTGAGGCATTTGATAGTGGAAAAAAACAAAACCAGGATCCAAAAACTGATCATGTCCCATCCTTTGGGAACTGCTGGAAGAGGAGGAAAAGCACTGATTGTGCCCTTACCTAATCTGAAAAGCATCTGTTTGGAAGTTTGTACACTTGCTAAGAAACAGGGTTTTTTTTCAGTATTCAGTTAAACAGAACTACAGGAAATACATTGCAAAACATAATGATTTTTTTTAATCAACTATGAGCCAAATTTGTGAACTCAACTCGGAAAAGTAACAAAACAAAATTCTGAGCATTCCTTTACAATGCACCAGTTCCATAAGAAACCAAGTCCCTGGTACACGTTAATTTCTTTTTTATGTAGTTCATTTTCAGAAGTAGGGAACAGCCCACTAGGACTCAACATTTTTGGGTGGGGAGAAATTTTTGGTCAGCTCTGTATATTACGTCAAGTTCACTTAAGGATTACAGTCTATACTTGGAGCTCACATTACTAAGCCCTTTTCTCTCCCAGCTCATTACATAGACAAAGACAAAACCTTGGTAGGCCTCAGAAGAGGACACAGAACTGAAGAAAGTGTATCTTTAACTAAATCAGCAATGAAGCAAACTTATTTTCCCCTGGTGTTAACGCATGACTAATGCATACTCGAGCAATACAGTGATCTATTCATTAATTATGAAATTTCAGACACTGTCAAACTATCATGTTAAAACAGATTCTCACAGTTGCAGTAGTGGATAGCAAATTACTCAAAGTCTGTCAAGAAAAGAAACCAATGCTGCTCCGGGCTTTGAAAACCACTTTGGAACGTTCTACAAACCACAAAGGCCAGGTCTGACTTCTCGACATTTTTCAAACTTGCACAAAGAGGAAGAAACAAAAAAACCCATTGTACTGTGCCTGAAACAGTCACATGCTCAATGCATACAACGCTCACAGACTCAGCATCAAGTATTCTCTTGTAATTGCTGCCTTCGTTGTGAAAGCAGGCATTGTCAACAAGACAGCTAAAGGTGCTCCAAGTGTCACTGACACAGGCTCAAAGAAACTCCTAAAACGACAAGAGACAGCCATTTAGCTGCTTCTAATATGATAACTAACAAGTGCTAAGGCTCAAAACAGAAGGAGTTACCAAAAGCAACGCCAAGGAAGCATGTACTGATTCCCAAGCCAGAGTACATTAAGTTTACATAAACGCACAGAAAAAGCCCAGATGCATCCAGGGAAGAAGAAACCATCAGCAGCCACTAAATGTAGGAACACATCCTCTAGTTCAGAAAGTCCACGTCAGAAGCTAATCCCCAAGAAGCTGACTACTCATCTAGCTTTCCCTATCACCACATGCCTGGCCTTCCTGTCTAGGAGCCTATTAACAGCGTTAGATAAACCAGCTTCAGAAATTCTAGTTTGACTCAGTATGGTCAATACCTCAGTTATCTTCACCACTGCAGCACCAAACTCATGCTAGCACTCAGCTTGTTTCCAGTGTGTTTGGTTTTTGTTGTTTCCCGTAAGGGTTACAGAACCTGAAGAGCTGAAAATGCAATGAATGTGAATTTCATGAACTGTTCTCCAGTCTTGTGCCTTTTTTCTCCTCTGGCACCCAGTCCATCAGCACAAGAAGCAAATGCCTTACTTGAAGGTAATATTTTATTATAGATCAGAGAACAACAGCTTTGAAATGTCAGTGCTATTGTCCCATGACAGACTTAAATAAGATTACCTGATCTTGTGCTCATATGCTTCTTAAATGGCGCACTGTTGAAATATGTGAATGTTTGGCACTCACAGATAATGAAAAAAATAATTATACCGAAGCAAGAAAGCGTACAATAGAGTGCACAGAAATGACAGAAAGCTGCCTCAGATGCATTTGTTTCTTATGTTAAGGATACAGCACCACAGAATGCTGACACTATGCTGCCCCAAAACCTACACACAAGTACTGGGTGTATAAACTACAACTCACCCTTCTACAACCCTCAAATTCTGTAAACATAGCTGGAAGCAACAATTGAGGTCACAATGCCATTTCTCAGGCTGGCCACAGGTGACCCAAACCAGTTCTGGAGAAAGCTCTCTATAGTCTTGAGCAGTGGTTGGGTCCCTTAAGCATGTGCTGTAGCAGATTTTTATTCTGATCTTTGACTCCTGGCAATTACATTCGCTTTGATTTCTGATTAGAGAGCAACAATTATAAACCACCTTTGTACACAACCAACTTTGTACTTGCCCTCTACCAGGCAGAAGATAACTCTTCAAACACAACCGGATGACTCATTCCAGCTAAATAAATCATGATACAGAAGAAAGATTTAATACTGATACAGTCCCTTGAATTTATACGAGCCACAGTAAGTCACATTTAAACTGTTAAAGCTACACAAAAGCAACCCTCATAGTACAGTACCAAACTGGAGTAAAATTAAGTAACTTCTATAGCTTGATTACTTTTTTTTTTTAGTTCTACTTTACCATTTCTTCATTGCTGCCTTCTGCAAAAAAGCACACCTTAAACAAAACCATTGTCCTCATGACCACAGCATCAGCCAAACCAGCCACAGGAAGCCAGTTTACCCTAATTACATGCCATTCTTCAGCTTGTAGATGCCCTACTCTGTTTCATTTGCAGTATATCCTCAAGTGTAAGTTTTCCAATGAACTGCAATAAAGCAATACCTCCATGCATTATAGGAAAATAAAGCAATACCTCCATGCATTATAGGAAAATAAAGCAAGAGCTATCACTTTCAAAACAGTTGTTCTGAGCAACCTAAATATACTTACTTCCTCTTTTGTCCTGTTCCACGCACACACTGTTCTTCCAATCTCTTAAAAAAAGCAAATATAAACAACCCAGCCTCAGACAAAATAAGAAAACTGGTTGAAAAATCTTGTCTTAAACTACGTTTGTACTTATTGTGGCTTAAGAGAGTTATCAGTTTCACATACATAAAGAAAACTCAAAGTAATAACTACATGAATCACAAGGAAAGAGAGTTTAAACTCAGGCAATGTTAAAGGGAGTACAATCAAAAGCTCAACCAAACATCTGGACTAACAAAGAGAATTATGTGAAAGGGAACAGTGTGCTAATACCACTGAAGCCACCTAATCCATACTGGTTTTCCAGGTTTTGCTCTAGTCAGAAAATTTCACAATATTAAAATAAAGGTATTATCTTTACTCTCTGAAAGAATTGAAAAGCTTTAGAAAAAGTTACATGCTTTTCTTACGTGTCAGCATTGCTGTATCTTATGTCAAGAAGCACAGTACACAACCCAGGGCTCTCACCACCTCTGTAAGGGAACACGGTGCTGCAGAAGTTGTCCACTTCCAAGAATTCTCCACACAACTCAAAACAAAGCAAAGCTAGTGTTCTCACAGGACCTCTTTCCCCTTAGCCCAAAGAACGCAACACTATGATGAAGCCAGGAGGTACCCCTGAAACCCTACAACAAATTCAAAATGGTGAAATAGAACAAAGTATGCAGAGAGAATGATCACGTTGCAGCTTTTGTTTCAGTGCCACGTGCAAGCTTGGAACCACCAACCAAAAACCTTAACAAGAACACTAATCATTATTATGCTAGCAATGCCATGACCTCTAGTTACCTTCTCTGCATCATCAAATTTCAGTTTTATTGTAGTTTCCCTTTACTAACAGTTGCTCATTTCATCTAGCTGTTTGTAAAGTCTGCTTGTTGCTAATTTTAAAAACAAGCTTTCCCTCCTGTGAAAACTGTAAGTCACTTTCAATTAGTTCCTTTGTAAGAGATCAAAAAGAAAGGTGTCAGGTAATTCAGCAGTCGGGAAAAGACTGTCCGTGTAATGAGCGAATAAGCAGATGCTGTACAACAGCTTGAGCATGACCTAAAAAGCACGCAGAGTACTGAGCAGAGGCTGTGCTCAGCATCAACTGTTAAAGGCACAAT